TGTATTATATAAAATGAAGGCCCATTTATAAGCTAGAAATATGACTTGGTCATTATTTAGTGAATTAATATTTAAAAATCATATATCATCCATTGGTCATGGTGCTGAGAGAGAAAAAATAAAACACTCAGGTTAGTGATCCATTTTAGCCATGATATTTTAAAACATGGACCTTTTCAAAAGTCAATTCATCCAGAAAATGGTTGGGAAACATGAATTTAACATATAGTGTCTAGATGAAGATACATACTTGCCTTTTTCTTTAAAATAATGAACTGTCTTAAGGCAAGATAAGCAATTCAGATTGGTATTTCTTAAAGAAATGTAAGGCACTCTGATTTTAATTTTTGTCCCTTTGTTTTTTGAGGGGAGGAATTCAAGAGAACACATGAGGATGAAGAAGTTTGTACTTTTTTCACAGCGCCATTGTCCTCATTATTTGGTCTGAGAAGACCAACTTAAGATATTTGGGGGCAAGTGATGTAATAGAACAGGTGCTAATAGAGCTGATAATTTTTGATGAAATTGGGAAGAGCCTTGCATGATGGTTTTAAAGCCATGCTTTAATCCCCCAATAGGTTTAAAACTCCGTATTTGTAAGTTCCAATGATTTTTCAAGCAAGCAACAAAGGTTGGCTGACTCATTGCTAAGTACAAACACACACACACACACACACACACACACATGTTGGGTAATGTAAAATGTCAGTGGATTTGCTGGAGAATCAGGTTCAAAGTCACTCTAGGAAAATAACCTGAACCATGTCAGCAAGAACCTACAAGAAAACAGTTCCCGTGGCAGCTGCCACCACCACGGCATCAGAAACTCCACTCTGTAGCAGACAGCAGTGCTTCGAGGCTTTAGAGCAACTTCTGTCTTTTTCTTAGTTTGCATACTTGCTAGAACGTCCAGAAAAATTAATAGTGTTAATGCTATATATCCGTTTTGTTTCCTGACTTTAATAGAAAAATGTGTATATTCTTTGGTACACCAGTACGTACTTGTCCAAAGAATGTTAGGGAACTCATCTTCAATACCTCAATTTCTAAGAGATTGGGGATCTGAAAAAGTCATGTTTTTAATATTTAAAGTAAGAAATAAAATTTGAATTTTATCAGATGCTTCTTTTGAAAAGATACTATTTTTCAATGAATGCATTAATGTGGAACAGTAATAGGTTTCTAACATTTACTTTCTTATAAGAGTTACACCCACTCAGTCATGGTAAGATAAACTGTTATGTAATACCTAGGTTATGAGTGCAGGTTATGGAATCTGGCTGCCTCAATTATCTTCTAGGTTTTGTCATGATTATTTTGTGACCATGGAAAGGAACTTAGCTTCTGTAAAACTAGGGTTATCATTTGCAAAATGAGGAAGATAAATAATAATTCTAGTAAGAGTTGTGTGAAAATCATTCAAGATAATTCTTGAAACCAACAGTGCATGACCCATAGTGAGCTCAGCCAAAGTCAATAAATATATCTCGTGTTTTACTATCTGCAGTGTAATGATGATCTTAATACTGTGTGCGTTAACTTTTTCCAAAATATTTCCAGGTAAGATTGGCTTGTAATTTTCTTCTAGAATGGTATTTTCTCAGTTGTCTTTGACACATTTCAGCATAAAGATATTTATCCTTACCAAATGTTCTGAATAGCTGTATATTCTGGATGACTTTAAACAATATTTAAATTTCTATATAAGAAATTAAAAATTTTTTTAATTTTTTTATTGTGAGAATACTGTACAGAGGAGTTACAATTACATTGGCAAGATAACGAGTACATTTCTTATCAAGCATTGTTGTCTCCTCTTTGTTTCCCCTTCCAATCCCTTCCCATAAACCCCTTCCCCCACCTGATCCTTCCCCCCACCCCGCCAGGAAAGTTGTAACATTCATTTTCGACATAGCGACTTGTACATCTCATTGTTGCAATAAGTCCACCTGTATCCCTAGTTAAACGATTTTTTCCCCTTCCCCTCCACAAATTATACCAACATCAAATACAGTGAAAGCAGGGGTTATACCGTGGGGGGGGGACATACAAAGCAACTTAGAAGTCATCTTATAAAAACGTTAGAAACAATTCCATGAAAGGAAAAAACAAAAAACATTTGAATACTTAAAAAAAAAAAGAAACAGTTCCAGAACAAATAAATAAGAAATCCTTTCATCCACTCAATAGGAGAATCTAAATCTAGATCTCCTAATTGGATTTCTATGGTGCCCGTCACAGAAAACAATCGCATATTTGGTTTATCGGGGTGAAGTACAAATACTTTCCCCAAACCTCAGACCTTAAAGTAATCATTGAAGTCTCGAGTGAAGCAGCTGTAAAATAAAAATTAAAAAATCCCCAAAGGCCAAGTTACTTAATGGCTTTGCAGAGTACTTCTTAAAACACCGTAATTAGCTGTTGAATGGCGTTTTCATGCGTACCAATTCAACCCCTTCACCTACAGAACAGTGGGTTGGGCTTGAATCTCTTTTTTCACTGTCTCACCCATGACGGTGATCCTCATGTGCTGGGCATGAGCCAGTTCCCACGAGTAGAATTTGCCTGTGTGCCTCTGACACCCCAGATCCCGGCTTCCTCCTCCTGTAAAAGACAAGGCTGCAGAGCATGCCCAAGGTTATCCAGCTAATTAGCGTCCAGAAATAGAATCTATGCCTGTTGATTTCCCAGACTGTTCGCAGCTGATCATTCTGGAGGTGCAGAAAGTACTTTTGTCACCCATTTCTCATAATTAAAGATGTTTAATTCATGCACTGTATAAAATAAGCATATATAATAAGTATATATGTGTGAATATATGTCCATATATAGAAATAAATATGTAACAAATGTGAAAAAAAGAAATTAAAATTCTTCTGTAAACCACTACTATAGATATATAGAACTATAGATATAGTTCTTTATGAACTTTTCTAGTTTTCCACAGCTTTTATCTTTCCAAATGTTCCATTTATCTTAATTTTAAACATTTGTACTTTCTTAGAATTTATTACTGTAATGATTTCAAATTTTAAAATATTTTCAATCTGTAAATTTTTTTTTCGGTCATGGGGCCTGAACTCTGGGCCTGGGTGCTGTCCCACAGCTGTCCCTGAAGCTGTCTTCAGCTTAAGGCTAGCACTCTACCACTTGACCCCAGTGCCACTTCCAGCTTTTTCTGCTTATGTGGTGCTGAAGAATCAAACCCAGGGCCTCATTCTTGTGAGAAAAGCACTCTACCACCAAGCCACCTCCCCAGCCCCCTATAAATCTTTTTAAATATCATTTGCTACCTTCTTTTACATTATGTTGCGACACTAATGACTGTCATTCCTCATTTTTGTGCCAAAACAGTAGCAAGTTTGTCATTGATTCATATAAATTATGCTCTAGTCATTACCAGTATATATCAACACCTTTACTCTCTATGAATTCCCATTTTATTTAAATTTCTTTCTCAGTATTTCTGGTGTTCAGGCCTAAACTCAGGATTTTACACTATCTCTCAGCTTTCTTTGCTCCAGCTGGTACTCTATTACTATGGCCATGCCTTCAGTTTTGGTGTTTTGCTGGTTCATTGGAGATAAGGGTCTTTCAAATTTGTCTACCTGGACTCAGATTAAAAAACGTGATCCCCAGAGCTCAGCCTCCTAAAAAGTTAGTATTACACTGTGAGCTACCAGCACCCAAATTCTTTGATTATTTTTAAGTTACTTTTGTTCATTATTTTAATATGTAGTTGATTTCTTTTAGTTCAAATCAAGACATTTTAGGCTAAAATGCTTTGCAATTTCCCTCAAGTTTAATTTGATTGAATCCCATATTTTTGATGAATCTATTATTTTAATATGCTCCAAACTTTTTAGTTTTAATTTCATCTTTTAATACAAGAACTGCTTTAATTTAAAATTTTAAGTGCTATAGTTTTCATAAATTCTCAAATTAATTTATAATTTTATTATTATGGAGGCCAGGAAATTGGACATCTATAGTTCCCTTGACCTCTCTCAAGTGCCTTAATTATTTTAGCAAGGACAAGAGAGTGAGAGTCAAATAGGTAGACTAAAGGAACATTATAAGACATAAAAGTTCTTTTCTTTTTGTACGCATTATCCTGCCCATGCAATTGTAACCCCTCTGTACAGTATGTTCACAAATAAAATAAAATTAAATAAAAAAAGTTCTTTTCTTTCTGTTTTAATATATTTTAAAATAAGCTATTACACAAAATAGAATGTAAACTATTACATATTGTGCTCTCTGTTTAGTTTCTGCATCAATATGTGTCAATGAAATAAATATGCTTATTTTTCCCTCCTTTTTATTTTTTTAATTTATTTTATTGTAAAGATACTGTACAGAGGGGTTACAGTTACAGGTAATGAGTATATTTCTTGTCGAACCCACTCCTTTGTTGTTCTCCCACTATCCTTTCCCTTCCCTACACTTCCCCGCCCCCCTCAGGAAGTTGTTAAGTTCATTTCTAACATAGTGTCTTCTGAGTATCATTGTTGCAATGGGTTATCCTTTGTCCTTGTTTCAGCATTTTGTTATTCTCCTTCCCTTCCCTGGATCAGATAAATGTGTATACAAGATGCAGGGTACCAGAAGCAAAGACAATGATTGCAAGAGATAAACCAATTAAAAAAATAATAATAATATGGAATGCTTCATGCATTTGTGTCATCCTTGTGCAGGGGCCATGCTAATCTTCTCTGTATTATTCCAATTTTAGTGTATGTGCTGCTGAAGCGAGCACCAAAATGCCTATTTTAATAAACTAAGATTTGTTCTGGTTTTGTTTTAAATTTTGTATACATAAAGTTCATTTTCTACTATCTAATATGAAAGTATTATAGTATTATAGATGTGATTAGTTTTACATAGCATAAAACAGATTAAATAGTATTTGCTGTACTTTGGAGTTAATTTTAGTATTTGCAGTTCTTCAGACCTACAGTTATACTTTTAAGAATATTTATGTTTTGTTACTTTTGCAGAACATGGTTGGAGAGTGGACAGTACCAGAAGAATTAATAGAAAATCTACCACCCTCCAACAATAGTATATTGGGCCATGTGCTTCACAGGCTAATAGAAAAATCTCTTCCTCCTCAAATTGAGTCAACAGAACCTGAAATACCTTCATTTGCTATTAAAGGATGCTTACTAGGGAAAACACTGAGTGGAAAAACTAGCATTCTAAAGGCATTACAGAAAGGTAGGACTTTGCATTTCTTTTCATCCATTATTTCTTTATACACTATATGCAGCTGTACCAGCCCATGTCTATACAAAACTTACAAAAATCTCTGCTGATGATTTATAGAATCTCTATTTTTAATGAGGGTATAACAAGATGATCCTGTGTCATATTGTCCAGGCCATATTTACTCAGGCCATACAATGAGAGAGGTAGTGACACGTGCCTCAAAATAGGTAATCTTGACGGCATTATGCTAAACAAAGGAAGCCATACACAAAAGATCATGTCAGTTGTCATTCATATGAAATACCTCCAAATAGGCAAATCAACAGAGAAAGAAAACAACTGGTATTTGCCAGAGGAATGCAATAGGAGAATAGGGGGTGTTAACCTAATGGGAATGGGTTTCTTTTGGATCAATGCATTTTTTCTGGAACCATTTTGATGAATTATGAGTGTCTAAGTGCCACTAAGTCAAGTGTTTAAATGAGCAGTTAATTAAATGTATGTTGTGTGCAATTTTACAGTAATAAAAAAATCACTTTAACCTATAAGTTACTTCAAAGGGGCCCCAAATGCGGTGTTGTAGCATAAAGCCCAAGCACAAGAGCAATATGTCAATTACCTAAATGAAAAAAAAAATCTTGTTTTAGACTTTCCTATTCAGGTACTTTCTATTGACACTCTTGTCCAAGAAGCCATCCAAGCATTTCATGATAAAGAACAAAGTACAGTGATGCCACCAATTCAGGAAGAGAATGAAGGACAGGCTGTACCTAGTATTCAAGAAGAAACCCAGGCAAGTGTGAATTCGATTGCTCTTGCAGCTCAGTGTACTAGAGATAGGATTCTCAATGGAACACAGAAACCCTCTAGACAAAAGCTCTTTTCAGTAATGGTCCAGATAGTAAATAGTTTAGGTGTTATGAGCCAAAAGGCAAAATCAAGAGAAAAAATTCCTGCACCCCTCACCTGCCTCCCCTTCCCCACTGGTTTTCCTGTATAGAGCATGCAGAGTGGTGGCTCACTAATTGGGAAACATTCTCCTACCGAGCATAAAGCCAGTGTCTGGTGGATGAGGGTGGATAGTGATTGAACTACAGGCTTAGGAGGGCGGGATATAGGTCTGCTGGGGAAACCGATGAAACTGACATCAGGCTAGGATCCCACAAGTCAGTCCTTAACCACTGCTAACATTGAGGTTCCCATCCTGTAGTTGGAGACTAATGCAGGCCCTAGGCCAGACCAAGACAGTGGATGAGACAAGTACTAGAGCCAAGCAGGGACAAAGATAGAGGGGGAATCTTGGATTAGTCTCCAGGGTCCCAAAGGTAGGCCACTTGAATGATGTCTTGGGCCATACAAAAGACTTGGTTTGATAAATTTCACTCACAATGATAATATACTAATCCATGATGCAGTGTAACAGGGTATAGGAGTGGAGGGAGGCTCTCTATAGTATTTATGCAAATCACAGGTACATCATTTACTTCGATCATATTTCTTTCAGCTTTGCATCTCATTTCATTGTTGCATGATGATTCTGAGGGGATTGAAGGGACAGAAAAAGTTTATCCCATTTTGAGAATCATTAATGTGGTTTCGACACCTTATTTTGCTATATGGTTTACTATAAACTCTTGTTTGTCTCATCAGGTTCCATTTTATTTTCAAAATAGCAGGTATATTTTATAGAGAAAATGAAAGCCATTCAAAAGATAGGCTGTAACACAAGTTACTGAACACCACTATATAAGCGATTTTGTTTATGGAAATCATCATTTGAGTCTAAAACCATTAATCTAATTAATGTCATAGATAAAATTGCATATTTTATATTAATTCCCTACCTAGAGATACACAATTAAGAAATTTATGAAGATAGAACAATGTTAATCGCTCCCTCCCTTCTTCTTTTCTTCTCTCCTACCATCCCTCCTCTCTTCCTTCTTCTTTGCCTCTCTCTCTATGCCTCTGTCTCTCTCTTTCTGTTTTCTCCCAAAAGGATTCACAAAGTCCACAAAATATATCATCCGCTGGTCCAGTTTCAGGTGGAGCATTACCAGTAACAGAAGGTAAAACTTTAAGTAAAACGTTAAATCACCTAGACTGTACAGTAGACAGATAGACAAACATATGTGAGCACAAGCATGCTCTCAGAGAGACAAGAGACGGGGGAGAGTTGCACAGTGGTCTACAACACTGCAGAGAATGCGATATAACTCTTATATATAACTGAGGATAAAGGTGAAAATTACCTAAGAATCCTTTTGTTCCCCTCCTTCAAATAATGGTTCAGCTTTGTGCTTAGGAGAGAACAGCCAAGATACATCATCCTCACTCTCCTGGTTTTGCACTCCTTCCTGTACCTCATTGTTTCTCTTCCCTGTACACGTCTGTGTGCAAGTCATATGGAAACTCTGTGGGCTGGTGCTCTGCATTGCATTGAGGGAGTTTGTAGTGTATGGCTCCTCAGCCCACAAACACAGTGGCTCCTTTGGCCAAAAGCAAATGTATAGGCCAGCTCTGGTGGCTTTCTCCTGTAATCCTAGCTACTCATAAGGCTGAGATCTGAGGATTTCATTCAAGCCAGCCCTGAAAGGAAAGTGTGTGAGACTCATCTCCAATTAATCACCATAAAACTGGAAATGGAGCTAAGGCTCAGTGTGGTAGAGTGCTAGCTTTGAGCAGAAAAGCTCAGAGATAGCATCCAAGCCCTGAGTTCAATCCTATGATAGAACAAAAAAAAAGTATATTTATTCTCAATCTTAAGCACTGCCATTAAGACCAAGTTTTTGAGCTTAATAATCTGCTTGATTTTTTTAGATCCTTTGTAGATTCATTGAAGGAAAACATTTTTTAAGTGTAAAATGCTTTGGATTTAAAAAAATTATGCTAGTGAAGACTTTTTCACTAGAAACATCTTCCTCATATTTTACTACAAAGCACAGATCTCAGGATTTAGCATTACTTTATCGCTATCTAACTAGGGTGAGGAGGTATCTCACTGTTGTTTTGATTTACATTTCTTTTATGGCTAGGGAGGTTGAGCATTTCTTCATGGGTTTATTGGTCATCCTTCTTTCTTCTTCAGAGAAGTTTCTCCATAAGTCTTTAGCCCACTTATTTATTGGGCAGCAGTTTCTTTGAGGATTTGTTGTTGGGGTATTTAATTTTTTGAGTGCCAGGTATATTTTAGATATAAGACCCTTCTTCGTTGTATGTCTAGTGAAGATCTTCTCCCAATCCATGGGCTTTCTATTGCTAGCTATGTCCTTTGCCATGCAGAAGCTCTGCAATTTCATGCAATCCCATTTTGTACAACCTTTCTTTGATTTGTTGAGTTTCTGGGTCTCTATTAAGAAATTTTCAGCCTGTGCCAAGGAGACCAAGGGTTTCTCCTATTCCATCCTGTAATGTTTTCAGAGTGTCTGCTTTGAGTCTGGTGTCTTTGATCCATTTGGAGTTGATTCTGGTGCAGGGTGATATATAAGGGTCTAGCTTTAGTTTTCTTCAAGTGATTAACCAGTTTTGCTAGCACAATTTAATGAAGAGGCTGTCTTTCTTCCATTCTATTTTTTTAGCTCCCCCATCAAAGATTAGATGACTATAGGTTTGTGGGTTCATTTCTGGGTTTTCAATTCTATTCCATTGGTCCTAAGGTCTGTTCTTGTGCCAGTACCAAGCTGTTTTGATTCCTTTAGCTTTGTAGTAGAGTTTGAAATTTGATATTGATATTCCTCCAGCACTGTTCTTTCTCTTAAGAATCGTTTTTTGCTATTCAGGGTCTTTTATTGTTCCATATGAATTTTTGGATTGCTTCTTCTATTTCCTTGAAAAATGAGGTTGGAATATTAATAGGTATCGCATTGAATTTGTAGATAGCCTTGGGAAGTATTGCCATTTTCATGATGTTGATCTTCCTAATCCAGGAGCATGGGAGTTTTTGCCACTTTCTAAGTTCTGTTTTGATTTCCTTTTTCAGGTTTTTAAAGTTTTCATCATAAAGGTCCTTCACTACTTTGGTTAAATTAATTCCTAGGTATTTTATTTTTTGTGGGGCTATTACAAATGGAGTTGCTTTCCTGATTTCAGCCACACTTTACTCATTGTTGCCATACAGAAAAGCCATTGATTTTTGAGGGTTAAGTTTAAAACCTGCTACTTTGCCAAACTTTGAATCAGCTTTTGTAACTTGGGAATGGAGTCCGTGGGATTTTTTTAAATACAAGATCATGTCATCTGCAAAGAGGGAAAGTTTTACTTCTTCTTTCCCTATTTGGATCCCCTTTATGTTTGCATCTTGTCTTATTGCTGTAGCTAGGCATTCTAATACTAAATTGAAGAGAAGTGGACATCCTTGTCTTGTTCCTGAGTTAAGAGGAAATGGCTTTAGTTTTTTACCATTAAGTATAATGCTGGCTGTACGTTTGTCATATACAGACTTTATTGTATTGAGGAATGTTCCTTGGCTTCCTAGTTTTTCCAGAACCTTCATCATAAAAGAGTGTTGGATCTTGTTAAATGCCTTTCCTGCATCTATTGAGATAACCATGTGGTTCTTATCCTTGCTCTTGTTGATGTGATGAATTATATTAATTGATTTGTGATATTAAACCAGCTCTGCATCCCTGAAATGAATCCTGTTTGAAGGTGGTGTATGATTTTTGGATGAATTGTTGAAGGTCGATTGGCCAAAATTTTGTTGAGAAGTTTTGCATCAATGTTCATCAAAGAAATGGGGCTATAGTTCTCTTTCTTTGATGAATCCCTGCCTGGTTTGGGGATGAGGGTTATGATGGCTTCATAGAATGAATTCAGTAGTGAACTTTCTCTTTCAATTTCATTGAAGAGTTGAAGGAGTATTGGCATGAGCTCTGTTTTGAAGGCCTTGTAGAATTCCGCTGTAAATCCATCTGGTCCTGGACTTTTCTTAGATGGGAGGTCTCTTATTGCTGTTTCTATTTCAATGCTTGCTATGGGCCTGTTAAGACGGTTTAACTTATCTTGGTTAAGTTTTGGCATGTCAATATTTGCTAGGAAAATTTTGCCAAGTTCTCAAACTTATTAGCATAAAGATTTGAGAAGTATTCCATTATAGTGTTCTGAATCTTATTTGTTTCTGTGGTGATGTTTCCATTTTCATCTCTGATTTTATTTATGTGGGTGTGTTCTCCTCTTTTTCTGATAAGATTTGCTGAGTCGATTTTGTTTATTTTTTTGAAGAACCAACGCTTTGATTTGTTGGTTCTATGTTTTGGGGGGAGTTCTAATTCATTTAATTCTGATTTAATATTAATTATTTCTTTCTGTATACTGGATTGGGGTTTATCTTGCTATTCTTTTTAAGGAGGCTCAGCTGTCTCATTAAATTGTTGATTTCAGATCTCTTCAATTTGTTGAGGTAGGAACTCAGAGCTATAAACTTGCCGCTAAGTACTGCCTTTGCTGTGTCCCCAAAGAGCTGGTAATTTGTGTGTTCATTTTTGTTGAATATCATGGACATTTGAATTTCCTTTCTAATCTCTTCCATGACCCACTCGTGATTCAGTAGTGTGTTGTTCAGCCTCCATGAGTTACAGGACTTTCTTGGTGTTGAGTTCTAAATTTATTCCCTTGTGGTCTGAGAGAATTCAAGGTATAACTTCAATGTTTCTGAATTTGGACAAGTTTGCTTCATGACCTAAAATGTGGTCTATTTTGGAAAATGTTCCATGTGCTGCTGAGAAGAATGTGTATTCTAATGCTGCTGGGTGAAATATTCAGTAGATGTCTGTGAAATCTAGTTGATCTAAGCAGTTGTTTAGATCTGTGGTTTCTCTGTTGAGTTTTTGCCGAGTTCATCTATCTAGTGGGGAGAGTGGTGTGTTAAAGTCCTCAACAATTAATGTCTTTGGATCTATGTGAGATTTGAGGGGAAGTATTGTTCTTTGATAAATTTGGGTGCTCTGCTGTTTGACGAATAGATATTTAGAATTGTAATATCCTCCTGAAGGAGAGATCCCTTAATTAGTATGTGGTGTCCTTCTGTATCTCTTCTCACTAATTTTAATTTGAAGACTCTTATCTGATAGCAGGATTGCAACTCCTGCCTGTTTATGGGGGCAGTTTCCTTGGTAGATTTTGTTCCAGCCCCTCATTTTCAAAATATATTCATTTTTATGGGCAAGGTCTGACTCCTAAAGGCAGCAGATTAAAGAATCTTGCTTTTTAGTCCAACTAGATAGTCTATGTCACCTAATGGGAGAATTATGTCCATTAATATTGAGAGTTAGAACTGAGAGGTGTTTGGTAGTTCCTGCCACATTATCCACCTTCTTGGGGACTACAACTGTGTTTTTTCTATGGTTCTTGGATTCTCAGTTTGGATGCGGTTTCTTGGCCTTTAATGTGGTCTTGTTGGTTTTCTATGTGTAGGACATCTTTAAGTATCTTTTGTAGGGCTGGTTTGGTGGAGATATATTGTTTCAGTTTTTCTTTGTTATGGAAGGTTTTTATTTGACCTTCGTTTAGAAGGAGAGTTTAGCTGGGTACTGTATTCTTGGTTGATAGTTGTTTGTCTTTAGGACATGGCATCTATCATTCCAGGGTCATGCTTTAATTGTCTCTGCTGAGAAATCTGAGATGATTCTAATTGTTTTCCCTTTATAAGTGATTGGTCTTTTCTCCTTGACAGCTTTAATGATCTTTTCCTTGGTCTGAATTGAGCCTGTGCAGATTATAATGTGATGGTGGGATGTCCTATCCTAGTCTAGTCTATTTGGGGTTCTAAAAGCTTATTGTATCTGAATAGGCCTATCTTTTTGCATGTTTGGGAAGTTCTCTGCTAGGATCCTGCTAAACAATTTTCCTAGACCATTAACTTCTGTCTCTAGGTGTTCCTCTACACCCATTATCCTCAGATTTGTTCTTCTGATGGTATGTTCCAAATGTTGATAATATTTCTTGAACTTGTCTTGGATAGTTGTATGTTGTTTCTCTATAATATCTAGGCTGTCTTTAATCCCTGAGATTCGATCTTCTGCATGGTCTAACCTACTGTCAAGACTTTCTACTTTGTTTTTTATTTCTTTTCCTTCTAATTGGTCAGCTTTGATGTCTTCAAATTCTTTGTTGGAGCTTTGTTTTAGATATTGTATGAACTTCTTTACTTCTTTGATTTGGTGTTCAGTGTTTATTCTCAAATCACTTAGTTGATGCTTATTGTTTCCTTGGACTCCCATTCCTTCTGTCGGGCTCCATTCAGCATTCCATTTGTGGTTACCCTGAATTCTTTCAGCTGTCTGTTTATGGATTCCATAAATGCCTCTATTGATCTTTGTCTATTCTCATCCCGCTCTCGCAATTCCTGTATTACTCTTTGATTAGCTTCTTCACGTTCACCCAATTCCTGTCTTTCTATTTGACTGTTCTCAGCCGGCTCATGCAATTCCTGTCTTTCTCTTTGACTATTATCAGCCTGCTCACTCAATTCCTTTATTTCTCTTTGACTGTTCTCAACCTGTTCATGCAATTCCTGTATTAATCTTTGAGTAGCATCCTCATGCTCATGAGATTCCTGTATTAATCTTTGGTTTACCTCCTCTTGCTCCTTATCATGCTCACACTGAGTCTTTCCAGGTTTTCAATCTTTTCATTCACCATGTTTACCAGTAGTGTTTGTAAAGCTTTTGGGGAACTCTTCTCTGGATTATTTATTAACTGTTCTGTCACCTGATTATCATGAGTGGGAGTTGAGATATCCAGACTTGCCATTTTAAACATGCTTCAAAAAAGACTTCTTTGATTTTTTTTGGGGGGTGGGTGGGGAGGATGGGAAGATCCTGTATCTCCCCTGTGTCCATAACTAGCAGTTATTTCATTTCTAACTAGATCATTTCAGGGTATTTTCATGAATTTTGTAAATGTTTTATTACATTTTACTACAAACTGAAAACGCCCTATCTTTTCCATAAAATTTCACTAAATTCTCCTCTGACTCCTGCTGTTGGGTTTATGGATGTGTTTATTATCTGTAGCTTGATAAACCAGAGAAAAGTGCAAAAATATTTTAGAAAAGTTTTTGAGAAAGGGGTTACAGTTACATGAGTAGGGTAATGAGTACTTTCCTATTGAGCATTATTACCTCCTCCTTTTTTCTTTTTCTTTTTTTTTTCAATTGTGTACTGTACTGAGTGGTTACAATTACATGGGCAAGGTAACGAGTACATTTCTAATCAAGTGTTCTGGTTTTGTGGGAAAAAAATCTATGTTAACCAATATCTAATGGTTTGTGATGAGGTCAGTTCCTGCCAGAAGGAAGGAAGTGGAACCCATCAAGGCAGGCAGTGGCTGAGATCCTAATGCTATAGAATGGAAGTGAACACTTGGCTCTGTTGATTCTAGTACTTCCTGACTCCTGGCATCTCATTCATGGTTGGATCTCACTACCCTTTATAGTCAAAACCAAGAAGGCGCAAACCCTTCCATGGATTATGAGACAGAGGCACTGAAGGTCTGTTCTTACTAGCTTTTCTATTACTAGGTACTGATGCTGATATAATACCAACACTTGACGATAATGGTTTCTCAAAAGTAAGTATTACATCTATTTTTGAGTGCTGATCTTCTTAGTGACTGTACAAAATTTTTGAATAATCTAGAAATAAAAAGTTTACAACAAATCTTTCAATATTGTTTTGAAAGGAAGTTAGTACTTCAATGAATACTATTGCTTTACTATATTTTGAAGCACATTTTATCATTAAATAATCAGATTAATCATATAGGACTCCATTTACTTTACTTGCATTCCATTTGATTACCTTTATTTTGTACTTCATGATATACAATAATTTTTCAATCTTTCCAATTTTAAACTTGCTAAATATGGAAAACTTGGAAAAGTCTAAACAATGAACATGGTGACTAATGGAGAGCAAAGCAGGTTTAGAAATAGCGATAAAGATGGGATTGCCATTTTACTCTAAATTTGAAATATGAATTAGCAGAAAGACTTTTATGGTGATACAAATGATATATTTGGCACAAAAGGAGATTTGTTAAGTAGAGAAATAACATGATTTCATATATATACTCCAGTGGCTGAATTCAGATATAAGCACTGGAGAAGTCTCTGTTCTAGTAACACTATAGAACTTGTTTCAAACTAATACCCTGATTAATAACAATTATAAACTCTACCAAATGAAGGGTAATAAAATCAAAATAACCCACAATTAAGCATCCAAAATCAGACTGAAAATGACTGGGACTTGGTCAATGAAAGAAGAGAAGTTGACTGGACAAAAGCCATATGTTGCTGGACATGAGTGGCTAGAGCTCATTCTTTCTGGTTAAAAGTAGAAGATAAAGTTTGGTGTACGCGTGCAGCTGAAAATTTAAAAAGGAGATCTTGGAAGAAGCAAGGGAGGAACTCCAAAAATGTTTCAAAATCAGCACACAAATTTTCCTTAAATGTTTACCTGAGTCCAGAATTGTGCTAAAATGCTCAGTGACTTCATCAGAGAGAATGACTATTTAATTGCTTCCCCTGAAATCATTGCAAATTTAACTTTTAAACTGCCTTTATTTTAACATTCCTTGTTTTGTTTAGCTTTGTTTTGCTTTTCACAGCTCAGTGTGCGTGCTCAGCTTGGTGAACAATCAGAGCAATTGCTGAAGAGAGGAAAAAGCATTCCAGACTCATTGCTAGTTAGCATCATGGTGAATGCTATTAGGTATGTACTTCATTTTTGTTTCTAATATCCATGTGATGTTTGAGTATAAGAGTTAGAGAAATAAAGTTTTTATGTTTTTGATGTCTAATGTATTTAAACATACAGTAAGACATATCTATATAGATTTGTATGCCTGTATTTAAATTTCTTCTCCCCTTATTAACCTTGACATCTTTCATTTTGGTGTTCATTTAAATAAGGTTCTCTTGCTTTGGGAGAATTGAGACTGGATAATCAGGAGAAAAGAAAGAAAGAAAAGAAAAAACAATAAAAAACAAAAGAAAGAAAAAGAAAAAATATAAAAAAGAATAAAGGAGCAGGTTATAGAGAAGAGTGATCCTATCCATATGATCACAGGGGTCACTGTATTCCCTCATTTAGTATCTGAGGAAGAGAAGTTAGCAGCTGAGCCCAGGGACCCAAAAGCTGAGCAGTGCTGGGGTAGGCAGCTGTAGAGACAGAGTAATATAAGCATGGTTCAGAGTACTCAAGTAACAGGGGATTATAAGAAAAAGATCCAAAATAGCCAATCACTTTATAATCTCTGTTGTCCTTTTTCACAGTTTTCCTTTTGTTAATCTAGAAATGTGGGGGGGGGGATATAAGAAGCCAATTGATGTGTTTCATAAAGGAATAAATCCAGACAGGAAGGAACACAAAGATTTAAAAGCCTTCTGTAAAATAGTGTTGGAGGGCTTTGAAGAAAAGTAAAAATGATTAGCTGTGATATATGGGAAAAACTAAGATTAGAAGAAATGAGATTTTAGAGAATTTTCTTTGAATTGTGCATCTGGAATGGACTCTCCTTCGTGTCCTCTTAAAGGATTATATTAAACATTTAAATTGCTTCTCAGTTATGATGCTTCTAGAAATTATACCACAGAGCCTCTGTCCTAAGAACTACAAAATATCTCATTCTTGTTGGTAAAATGGAGGAAAATGGAAAAGGAATAGGCCAGACCCAATCTTCAACAAGCGAGGACTGTTTATTGAGGAACAGAAAGGGGCAGAGACCTTCCCTCGGTTTTGGAGGTCCTGCAAGGGACTGGATTTTGGGGTGGGCTTATATAGGGCTTAACAATGAAGCAGAGAATAAAAAAATAAGATCATGGGCGATGTCCTTGGCCAGATCCCATGGTGGAAGCTGGGTGTGGGGGCTATCATCTCCTGAGGGCCAAGGTCGGAATGACCTGCCTGCTGACAAGCACATGAGCACACACCTGCTTTGCTTGACCCTGGGGAATAAGGCAGGACTCAGTCCTTCATATTCCATCTTTAGATACATGAAAAAATTGGACCTAGAGGGGAGAGGCAGATCCTTCAATTGTAATGATTTCTAACGTTTCTCAGAATAGGCATATGTTTTAGCTATGAAATTCTTTGTTCATAGAAAAAAATGGGTACACATGACATCATACATAAAGCATCTCTTCACTTTGGTGTCAGTATGTTAACTGGACAATTTGAACCCCATCATTAGAGCTCATTTCCCTAACACCACTACCACTAACACTAACATTACAACCACTACCACCATTCTACTGCTCCTGAAGCACCTCCATAGGACTCTCAGTAGCTTTGAATCTTTTGACCTAGTCCAATGAAGAAAGAAATGTAAAGTGTCTCTGCTATGTATCTGGTGGTGGGGAGGCTGAATCCCTGATATCTGAGGTCCTCACTCTACAACTGAACAAACATGGCCCTTACCTGCCCTTCTCTCTGAGGTGTCTCCTGAGAGGACTGGTTCATGCAGAGATGGTGATATCCTCAAGGAAAATCACTTTCCCTCAGAGTCCAACAAATCCAGTCTATGTAAAATGCTTCACTGAACTCTGGAGAAGTTGTAAAACAAAAAAATCTAGTTAGAGATCTGCACAAAGCTTGATTTTCAGGAAAGATCACTGAGTTAGAGCAAATAGCTCAAATAGTTCTGAAATTTTGATTACATAATGAAATCTCTTTGGCCTTTATTTCTCACTTCTTCCTGCCACCCTGTCAGAAGGATCATACACAGGCACCTAGGCAGACTTAGAACTTTCTGGAAAGGGGATTCTATTATTTTGTATATGCTACAACAGAGAAAGGAGCAAAATCATCAAAAGGACAACATTTCAATTTTGCAAATTTGAAACTTGAGAAGACAGTTGAAGTTTATGCCCTTTTCACAATGCACTTGCCAACCAAGATAAGAATTCCTGGAACACACCTTCTCTTTAGAAGAAGACAGTGCTTGGGGAATATTTCAAGAAATGGTCCATATCCTTCAGAAATTTGTAATCTAAGATTTTTTTGGAATTTTGAAGTTGAGAATATGTTGTTTGTGTGGTGAAATAGATGACAATCAAAGGAGCTTGGATCAGGCTGTTGTGCTTCAGTGGTGGGGTGGGAAGGAGTCTTCAGGTGCTCAGTGGGAATATCCAGCCTGTGCTACTTTCTGGGCTGGGTTCATTAAATTCGCCAGTCTATCGTCAAACCATCTAGTAGAACATGTTATGTTCTACCATTGTATAGAGAGGAAACAGAGGTATAAGAAGAAACAGCTTATAAACACAAACTAGAACTCGCAGGTTATCCTTGCATAAAGGTAGAGAGATCAATTTTTTTGAAGTAAACATTCAAAATTGTGAGAAATTAAAAGTTTTTAGGCTTATCTTGTACCAAGTTCCTTTCAAATACATATTAAGGCCTCTGGAATAGATATAAAGGGCAGCAAGGCCTCACAGAAGTATTTTAAGCAAGGGAACAATTGTAGCACTTCAGTTAGCCTAATCTTTTAGCTATAAAGGAATGAAATCCATGCAGTAAAGGGGTGTTGTAAGCATGAAAGAAAGCTAAGACTCATTGTGTTCCTATTTTGTAAAGTATCTATATCTATCAAAACATTAATGGATGATCTTGTTTTAATCTAGTGAGATACCTATGCATCAAGGCTGGGTCCTTGATGGTTTTCCAATGACCTTAAGCCAAGCACAGCTCCTGGAAGAAGCTCTTACGGGCTATAACAGAAGCCAAATAGAAGCAGAAAGAAAGAATACACAAATACCTACACTGGCTATTGATCCTACAACTTCCAAAGCAGTACCTCCTCCCTCTCCAGCATTTGATTTTGTTTTATTACTCGATATTTCTGATACTGCTTCACTAAATCGCCTGGGTAAGCTGGACATCTTCATCTTGACACTCCTGTTTCTAATTACACTTCTCTGTTTTCTGACTAGATCAGTGAATATTTCTGGTTACAACTGTAAGAAAGAATCCATTTAGCCTTTGAGAGAATGATCTAGCTGAGCCCACTTGCCACTTGTTTGAACTGTTAGTGTGCAGCAGTAATGGCCAAGCCTGGAACTAGAGGAGAATTCCAGAGCATGGACAAGCTTCTTTCATCAAATTGACAGCTCTCCTGGCACAGAGGTTACTGTTCGAGAATTTCATGCTTAGGGGAGCTCTTTGTGGCTTTCTATTACATCTTGACATTACTACATCATGCATGCACAAACACAAGTATTGCAAATATTTGCATGTGCATAATCCTGATGGTGATCATTATTTCATTAACCAACCAATGCCATAAACAATGATGTGGTTATACTCTTTCTTAGACTGTGTGTTAATTCTAAAAAGCAAGTTAGCAATTGGCAGAAGTCCTCACCTGGTGAGGTTGAATTTTTTTCTTTTGCCCAAATAAATGATTTAACTTTTTTCATCTTCCAATCAAAAACATTAATTACTTCATTCTGTAAAGTAAGTACATAAGAGTTGAAATCCATATGCCTGAATTATGGCTTTGCTAATTAAAAGGTATTTGAACTTCAAAAGATTTCTTCATTTCTTAATACTTTTTAAGAAAAGATCTTGCTCTGCTTCCCAGTCTGGATTCATACTTTTAGGTTTAAGTGATCCTCACCTCAGCTTCCTGAGCCTCTTGGACTGCAAACTTGTACTTAGGGCTTTAAGCCTCAACATCTATGACAGGGTGAATTATTATACTGCAGAGAATATTTAATGAAGTTATAGTTAAACATTTTGGATTGATTTGACATATAATGTCAGAAGTACTGTGGAAGACTTCAAAATGAGCAACATAGTACTGACTATTAGAGAATCAAGTATTTTCTACAGGATTCTCTAAGGTATCTGATTCTATTAGGATCTGTGGCTTTCTTTGATTCTTGAATAACTATAAGTTGTACAATATTGGTAGGACTACAAATGATTCTTGTTCATATAAATGCAACTGAATCTTTTGTTTATTTAAAATACCATTTTAACGTGGTTAATAAAATATTATTCCAGGTTGAGTTCTGTGATCCACATTTGTAATCTCATCTATTTAGGAGACTGATATTGAGTGGATTCTGGTCAAGGCCAGCCTGAAAATAAAGTACATGTGACCTTCCTCTCAACTAATAAAATACTGAGTGCTGTGATATTAACATGTGATCCCAACTACTTGGGAAACATGAAGAGGAAGATCACTTCCATGCCAGGCCAGCCTGGTGATAAACACAAGACCTCATGTGAAAAACAACTAAAGCTCAAAATACTTAAGTTGTGGCTTAAGTGGTAGAGTGCTTGTCAAGCAAGCATAAGGCCACAAAATAAAAACTATTATTCCTATATTGTTCTGTCAATAGTAGTCAGTTTTTCATCTACTAATATCTTTTTCACCATTCCTGATTGTCCTTTATGCAAATTCTCATTTGAACGATTTTAGCATCTTACAAGCTCTCTCATTCATTGGAGAGTGAAATGATATCTTTGACACATGTTAATTTTACAATTGAAGGTCTTGATTATTGTTTTCTTTAAAACAGAACTATCCTTTGATTAATGGTAGCATTTATTATTCTTTTATCTGTTACTACTAACACAAAACAGAGCTGGAAGAGAATTAAGTGATCATAAAACCTTTGATTTATCATATAGTCACACAGTCCGTTATTTGTAGACTGCAATTTAAAGCATGAGTACTTGACTTAGCAAAGGTCACACTAATCTTTATTTGGGGTTTGTGTAGTTTGAGATCTTTTTTGGGGGGGGAGAGGGTCCGGTCATGGGGCCTGAACTCTGAGCCTGGGCACTGTCTCTCAGCTCTTCAGCTCAAGGCTAGTACTCTACCACTTGAGCCACAGTGCCACTACTGCCTTTTTTTCTTTTTGCTTATGTGGTGCTGGTGCTGAGAAATCGAACCCAGGGCCTCATGCATGCAAGGCAAGCACTCAACCACTGAGCCACCTTCCCATCCCTAGTCTGAGATCTTGTATTCATTGTTTACCTAAATAATATAACAAACCATTAGATACTACTTTAGTAATCGAAGCCAGAAGTTTAAACTGTCCATCATCTCCAAAAAGAGAAGTAACTTCTGTCTGTGCAAAGGATTAGAAACATGCTTATCTGTTATTTCATCTCACTTCCTGTACCTGTCTGGAGATCTCTGAGGACTGGCTGAGAATCCTGTCAGTCCATAGCCACTGGGTGACATAACATGATCCAGAACCTCTTGATCGATCTGACCTGAAAGTGGATTTGACAATTCTAAATTGCATACACAGTCTGTTGAATGAGAAGGTTCACACAAGGGTATTGAAATGTTTTCTATCATTGTAGAGCTCTGAATGATGCATATTCTATGCTTCAGAAAAAAAAATCAATGTACAAGAATTTTTCAAGAAATCCAATTTTGAGTTCTTACAATTTTCTATCAAAACTACATGATGAATGACTAGCATATTTGCTAAACCTGGTACTGTCATCCTAATTTCCTCATTTTGGACCCTTGATTTATAGCTAGGCTTAAAAATGTTTTTCTCTGCTCTAGGGAGAGTTTTATGTACTTATATACCTGAAAATCCTTATTAAGCTACTCCCAGAAGTTTGTCTTAAAATACAATGTGATTTTTTTCCTTTCTGTCTTGTATAGCAAGTGCAAGCCCCAAGTTTAAACTGAAGTATCACTAAAGTATTTAACAAGTACTAACAAAAATGAAAGATTTATTTTCCCAATCACATTGTTTAAGGATGTCAGTGGCTGCCATATTGACAGCATTGATATGGAATATTTTAATCACCTCAAAAGATTCTCCTGGACAGCACGGGCTAGAGTGATGGGAACAAAAGTGGATCACTAGTAAACTACTATTTTTAATACATTAAGCCCTGGTAATATAAAAATCAAGGATAAGTCTCCATTCTCCAGTATCCTAAAAGTTAGTGTGAGGAGAAACAAAGTAAGTTAATTATGAATGTAGTTTGTCATGTGCTGTAACAAACGTGCCCGCATGGGGAGAGGTAGCCCGGCTGAAAGGGGAACAAAGAAGAAAGAAAGGCATTTTTAATTTGGGAGATATTTTACAGTGAGAGTAAAGCAAATGTATTTAGAAGTGCCTAACTAAAGCAGAAGACAGAGAGTAGTGGTTTTCCTAAGTGAATAGATGGAAGTTTACAAGACATAGTTGTAACAATTTCCCTTCCAGACCAGGAGGAGCCTGTCCAACCGTGGCAGCTCCTTCATTAAGATGAGCAACAGCCTACTATCATAAAGTTGAACACTACAGGGAATCCAGGTGGACTGCGAAGGTTGAGCAAGACAGGCAAATGATCTAAAGTGAAAGCAAGCAGGAAGGAGACCACAGAGACGTAAGAAGAACTAGCCAATAAGAAAGTGGCTGTGTTATAGAAGGTAGATAGCTATCTGTTCAGCTAATGCCTTATGGAATATGGTCAGCCTGAGAAGGAGCAGCAGTGCACTTATATGAGAGGTTCTGAATTGAGGCTCTGGATGCTAATAGTGGCTGAAAAGGGACATGATGTTTGTCTCTTAATTTAGATTCTATTTCCAGCTTATTAATTCATCCAGCTCCATATTCATAGATATATTTTTGAGCAGATATGATTGAATAAAAGGCATAAAAGTTAAAATAAAAATCCAAATTCTGGATTTATATTGATTCTCCACCATTATTAAAGTGTGATTTAGGACCAACTACAAAATTTCAACTCTACTTCATAAATTTGGTTGTGAATACAAATATATGTAAAAGCATGTAAGCATTGCATGCTGAATTCTACTTACTAATTTCACATACACAAATCAACTAAGATAAGGACTGAAATACATCCATTGGTGTTGCAATTTTTTATGGCAATAATGCCATTTGAGGTGGAGGGAAGGATAGATTATGGTTGGATAAGGCACCAGTGGGAGATGAAGAGGTAGAAAGTAAGTGGAGGTAACTTTCCAGAACTTATCTCTGAAGGAAAGAGGAAAGCATGGGACAGGGTATTTGTAATTTATATTTTTGGTTAACTCACAGTTTTCTTTCTCTTTCTTAGTTCACTTTAGCAAAACGTACACACACACACACATTGAAGAGCTCAGCTGATTTTTCAGCTAGGTAATTAGTTATGTCTTTTTCTGCAAGAATGCCAACCACAGTGTAATTCTGGAGAAGAAAGATGAATTTTACTTGGGACTGATGTAATAGGAGGACACACAAATTTAAGTGTTGGTGAGAAAAGAGTTTGAAGTGTTGGCCCATGTAATTTAGGTTTACTAGAAAATTAAGACATACAACACTGGTAAATTTTGGGCAAAGGATGTAAGAATTTAGAGACTGGATGCTGTTCCAGAGGTCTACCAGCTACACAGGAGTGGAAGACGAATCCATGTTTGGGGTAGGACCATAAAGTCCTGAAATACAGTGACCATAGCAGTGAATGCTGGAAATAGAAAGGCTAATGGCTGGATATGAGTGTGAGAAAAAGAAATCTAAACCATGTACTGATTTTCTTGTCAAAAATGATGTAAGGACCATAAGACTATGCATGGTTACATCTCTCAAGAAGCTCCACATTTTTTTTTCAATCATCCTTTCTGCAGATGGGGAACAACTGATTATTCTTTCCTGAATGCTTGATTACTACTCATGTTCTTTTGCTTTGAGTAATCCTTTTAATCTAGTTCAATTTGTTGTCCCTGGCTCTGGGGGTAGTAGGATTTATAAATAACCACTACTCAGAATTCTAAGTGCATTTCATCCTATTTTTTTTTCATGAATGTAGATGGAGAAAAAATGATTACTACCAAATATGTGTCTTTTATTCTTGAATGTTATTAATTCACATTTCAACTTTTTTTTGCTTTGAGTAAAGCTAACTCCTTTTACTCTTTTCTCTTTACCCTTTTCCATTTATTCTAAAATTTTGAGAATTCTGTTTTTTGTATCATTTTACCTAGAGTTTTTGAAATCTTTTTTGGTATCTTGCCATCTACTTTTCAAATCTACATAGAAGTTATAGGTCTAGAAAGAGACAAATTATTTTATGGCAGTAATTATTTTGTGGTAATATTAAATATTTTAAGCATATTGGACCTCATGACCCCCTTAATATTTCATTCTTAATTTTTCTCCCCAGTGTTGGTTTTTTTTCTTCTTAGTTTGTTGGCACATTTTATCCTAATTAGTTTACAATTAAATCAAACTTTTGAGGGTAAGAGGTCCCTGTTATAATGGACCTATTAAGATGCTACAGAAACTAAGAAAAAGTTAAAAGAATCAGGTGACAAATTCTCCAAGCTCCAAGAAGCATGCTCAAATTCCAGCTGGAAAAAAATCATTCATTGAATCTAAGGAGCCAGACTAGGTTATAAAAATGGAAAGGTGTGGAGGGCATACCACACTTTTCTGGTGAACCTATATTTGTTACAAATAAGATGATGAGGACAACACAAAGTGGCCACTCTCCTGAGACAGGAGATGTTTCTCTGGTTCTTGATTGGTTTGTCCCAAAAGCAGATGCCAAAATTCTTCTTTAATATATATTTTTATTGTAAAGATACTGTACAGAGGGGTTACAGTTACATGAGTAAGGCAATAAGTCCATTTCCTATAGAGCATTGTTAACCCTCCTCTATTTTTCCCTTACCATCCCTTTCTTCCCTACCTCTCCAACTCCTCCCTCCTCTCCCACCTCCCATAAAATTCCTTTTCAACATACAGTCTTGTACATCTCATTGTTACAGTGGATCAACCTGTATCCTTATTTCATCATTTTGTTATTTCCCTTCCCCTCCCCAAATTAGGAAAATGTATATACAAGATACAGAACACTGGTATCAAATACAGTGATGACAGGGGTTGTACCATGGGGGAAGAACATACAAAGAAACAAAAAAAATCACATAGTACATTATACGTACATTAAAAAGAACAGCAACGAACATAAACCTTTTGTGTCCCTATCTTGGGGTTCATTTTGCTTAGCATCAGGTTAAAAGCCCACGGATTGGGAGAAGATCTTCATTAGCAATCAACGGACAAAGGCTCTCATATCTAAAAAATTAAATCCCCCAACAACAAATTCTCAAAGAAATAATTGCCTGATTAATAAGTGGGCTAAAGACTTAAAGACTTCTCTAAAGAGGAAAGAAGAATGGCCAATAGAAACATTTGCCAAAATTCTACTCACAGCAAAGGAACCAGGGAGCTGATTTTCTTTGCCTTTGACTTGAAGTTGCCAATCAAAAGAAGCACTCTAATTCTTTCTCTTATACTTTCTAGCCTGAAACTTAATCTCGGAGATCTCAGCATTCTTCTCTTACCAACAGAAGCTTCCAGATCCATCGCAGCTACTGTTTAATGTATTTTTACCTCATTCTTCACAAACTTTAAGAAACGAATCTTACATTTTTGTGCCCAAACTGTATTTGTTCACTATTTTGTAAAACATCTTATGTATCTATTATATTATCTTTAAGTTGTGTACAAGAGAGTTTCAATTCAACATATTATGTTATGTGTATAATGCATCTTAATGTGACCTCTTTCATCATTCTTCCCGTGAAGCATTTTTAAGTAGTATCAATGATGGAACTGTACCTACTTGTCACTTTAGCAGTGAGTAGCAAATTTGACTAGTTTAGAAAATGATCTAATTGAGTAAATTTTATATCATAGCTGAAGATATTTCACATGAAATTTCTCAGGAGGACATTGATCAACATGGAGCTGCCGAAACCCATAAGGAAAGGGACCAGAACTTAAAAGACCAAATACAGCATAGGTGAGCTTTATATCAAGTACTCTTCTTTGAAGAGACTAACCATTAGCCTCTAGGGGAAAATATTTCACCATTCTCAGTCTTTTATAGGTAAGAGCCAACTAAATATTTTTGATAGTGAGGCAAATATTTATGTGGTACCTTTCACATTGTTATCAAATGATCTTAAACTGAGGAAAGAAGTCAGTCAGGCAACATTTTCCTTTATTAGGGCATGAGCTTGTAAGTTAACTATTTGGAATTTGGAGGTCACTAAAGAAATGTCAGGGAAGATCCTGAAACTCCTAGGAGCTTGACATAAGACTACACACTGTAGTTCTACTTCTATATTGTTAAAATAAAGTTATGTTTCATTCTTTGGGCTGCGTGTCCACTCAGATGAACATAGACAATTTATGAAACTCAGAAATCTAAAACTATATCATAAACTGAGGAAGAGTAATTTAAGCTACATTAGTCTAGCTACTCTCTAGAAAGAAAAAAAACGTTTCAAGAATAATTCCAAGAATACTTTTGAATAAAGTCTGAACAGTCCATAGTCACTCAGAGACCTCTTTATTTCCTATCTCCAAGATGAGGCTCGCAGTTACTCTATCATTAGAGCAGATGCTTTCATCAGTGTTCATGGTCATGCTTAATGTCTCTTCACTCAGCTATTTCAGTCAGTATGAGATATTCAGATAATATTTTGATTTTTTGGCAGGATTATAGGCTTCTTGGACAACTGGCCTGCATTGGAGCGCTGGTTCTCAGAGCCAGAAAATATTTTGATAAAAATCAATGCTGAAATCGATAAAGAATCTTTATGTCAAAATGTGAAGGAAATTTTTACAGTTGAAATTGACAAAAAAAAGAAGAAAGGTAACTATACTTCTTTAGATTTCTGAGTGTATATAACTACAATGTGTGGTTTAATGAGTTTAAGAGAAAAAGAAAATATGACTACAAAATTTTCTCTTATATTGTACTTATAAAGTCTACATGTATATACCTCTGACTTCAGGTTTCTGAACAAAATATATCTTTCTCTTCCTTTTAAATTAATTTATACAAAAGAGGCCATCTCATTAAAAACATTAATTCATGTTTAAAAAAATAAGTAACAAATATCAGAATTAAAATTAAGGATAATTAAAATGAAAGTTAATGACCCTATAAACCATGAATATAAGCAATCTATTTATTTATTAGCTACCTTAAAATAAAATATTAAAAATTGAGAATGCAAAAAGGAGAAACAATTTAACTTTGCTAACTTCAGCATTATTAGGAGACAGTATGTGAATTTTCAAATTATGATGGAGACATTAGGCAATTAGTTTTTCCCAAATCTACCTATTTGGATGTGAGTTAATTCTTTCTTCCATAGTCACTTCCATGGTATATTTACATTATAGTAAATGTGCTGTACCTTCTTCCTTTTCATTCAACCAAAAAACAATTACCCATTAATTCTTCTTTTTAAAAATTGCTTTAGTTGAATGGTTGTACAAAGAGGTCTTGATTCAGCGTAAGAATTTATGAGTACAATGTATCTCAATCAGTATCACCCTTTGTTTTCCACATCTCCCAATCTCACCTACCTCCTCACCCATTCATTTTTTTCATAGGGCCTTGCTTTATAACCAGGTCTGGGCCAAATCTTCCTTTTTGTGCTTTCTTGCAGGCTGGGGATGGCTGGGGTGCCTCTGAACCCACCCATTACTCTTCCCCTGCAGATTAGGTAACAGGAGCCTGCTATAACACCCAGCCACTGAGTTCGATGAGTCTTGTGGACTTTCATGCCTAAACTAGCCTCAAACCATGATCCCGCCCCCAGTCCCTATTTCTCCTTTTCAAGTAGGTCAGATTATAGGCTTAACCTCTCATATTTATCTCTTTTGCATTTTTACCTTGTTCTTCCACTAGAAATTTAAAATTAGTCTTTACCATTCATTTACCTTTGGTCCCCATTTACCTGTTGCACACACACACACACACACACAGATACACACACACACATACACCACCACCACCAACACCACTAACACCATCACAACCACTACCACTATCACTACCATCATCAAGAGGTAAAAGAAACTGTATTTTGATCAGGCATAGAAGCTTAAAACCTTAGCTTGAAGGATTGAATGACTAAGGGAGAGCCCAAAACAATATATATTAAATCAATAAATGTAATTTTATAATAATTTCAATTTCTCTTAGTTCAAGTGAAATAGTAGGCCTCTGGAATTTCTAATGAAGGTTAATTTTTGCCATCCTTTTGAAGTGGAAAAGAAATTAGAAGAAAAGAAATTAGAAGCTGAGAAAAAAGAAGCAGGAATTCCGAGGGAGCCTTCAGGTCTTGTGCCCTCTCAACCTGAACCAGAAAAAGAGAAGGAAATTCACCATCAAGATACTTCAAAATCTTCTTCTGCAAAAGGAAAGCCACAATCAGGTGATTGACGTTGGGATTTATACTGGGATTTATATTTGCCATCTTCTTATTTTAACTTAGGACAGAATTGTATAGCATTAGTCTGTTTTCTAGAAATTGGCAACTTCAATTCAAGATCTATACTCAGATCAAAGCAACCAATTCTCCCCAACTCACTGCTTTTTAGTGTTAGGCATTGAACATCTTGGATGTTAAGAATATGCTATGCCACTAAGTTACATCCCTATTAAGAAGAAAGTGTCTTCTAACAGCTAAGGACATGGTTGTTTTTAATAGTTTAGAGTCTTTTCTATTTAGCAGAGAGGATAGTGTCATCTTAGTTTGACTAGCTGATAGAAAGAGGAAAAAGGTAGAATAAAGTAATCATTAGAAAGAGGAATATGATCGAAAGGAAAATGGTAGAATAAAGTAATCATTTAGGACAGTGAGAGGGTAGCTTGCTGATTAATAGAGTTACATTCCTGTAGAGTGAAAACATCTAGCTAAAAAGAGAATTAACGTAGCTGATTGTCTTTAAGAATAAGAAAATCAATCAACAACATTCAATAGAGACTAAAATTTGTGTGTAACCCCAAGTCCTCAGGAATATAAGATTATGTAAAGAAAGAAACAACCAATGACATTTTAGTAAACCTATATTTATACATATATAGATTTAAATCCTGGTAGGTAATTTCTTTAATTTCTTTGCAGATACTAGTCACTAAGATCATGAGTCTAGCATTAGGTGGTAGAAATTGAATAAGACGACAAAAGTAAAATGGACAGTTGCCTTCCTTTATGACATAGATAGAACAGCACCCTGGTTTTGGATTTCAGCATAATCAGCGGCTAGCCTTGCAGTTAGACAAGTTTTTCTGTCTAACCTCAATGTGTCATGTCTAAATTCATCATTTGTCCATTTTGTGAAGATTTTAGGTGAATCTGAATTTCTTTTAAAGATGAAATGTATTCATGTTAGCAAAGAAATTTGAAAACTTAGCTAACAGAAGTTATTATGTGTTAGAAATTACTTTACTCCAGAAAATTAGGGCTTAACGGAATCAAAACATGCATCCTTTCCCCATCATCTAATTAGCAATTAGAAAAATCAATTTCAATGGACACCATTAAAAGGCAAGTTAGAAATGAAAAGGAAGAGAGAGGCTGAAGTTAGTCTAGAATTATTCAGCTGTCTTTTAAGTGATGGTTATGGCTATGGTTATGGCTGTACCCACTATTTAATCACCTTTGGCTTGCTTACAACCAGAGCATTGATATATTTAAGCCATTCTTTGAAACAAGTCTTTAATGTTTCTGATGATGACACAGTTCAGTTTTGAAATTCCTGGGGCTTGTTTGCTATTTAAAAAATTGTATACTTGAACACTGTGCATTGCAGGAATAATAAATCAATCATTGCTTCAAAGAGTGTTTGTACCTGTCTCATTTATTTTCCACAGGGAAGGACTAGTGCCCACTTTTTAAACATATATTAAAAGTTAATCTCTAAAGTTCTAATTACTGCTATCTAGCAATACTCTATAGTTAGTAAGACATCTTGGTGCTCTCAGCACTGATGGGGCAAGGGGTTGAGGTGTGCCTGGCAGCTCATTCTAGAAGCTGAGGTAAGCCATTTGGGAATGGGAAGAGTCCACCAGGGGATTTTGTTTTATTTTGTTTTTAGTCTTATAAAAAGAATTTAGTATTTCTTCGGGTATTTTCAAAACCAAAACTCTGTAGTTTTTCAAACATCCAATTAACAATCTCTTTTGAACTTAAGATAGACAATAGAATTCTTAAAAGCTAATCACTGTCAAAAAGAAAAGGTAGCATAGTGCACTGAGCATTAAAGAGACATTCAGTCCAAATTTAGTCTATTTTTTATATAACTTATCTGCTTCAACTACATTTGCAGTTGAATTTGAAAAATTTTAATTATGATTACCTTATTATGAAACCCATCACCATTATTTAATATCAAACTAAAATTTTTCAGTATTGTGAAATAGAGTAATACTGCCTCTGCTGCTATTTAAGAATATTTCAGGGCGTTCAGACTACTTTTTAGGCTAGTTGAAAAGGGGGTCACAAACATTCATCTCCAGCAAAAACAGACTTGCAGAAACAGACTTGCCCACAATGTTTTGCAGGTCTAGTGTCCTTTACTTTGTTTCATTTGTCATCTTGTACTAAAGTTTGGACCTAGTTACATATTCAGTTATTCAGAAATACTTTTTTAATTTTTATATATTTTTAAAATTCTATTGCAAAGGTGATATACAGAGGGGTTACAGTTACATAAGCCAGGTCTTGAGTACATTTGAACAGTGTCATCCTATCCAAGAGTGTTTTTTTAATCAAAGAAACTAGGTTTATTAGAACTCTGGTTATTAGGATTGTTTCCTTTTCTCCATTTCCTGGAGTTTATTTACATAAATATTATTTTATATGATCAGATGCACATAGGCATCGTGCCCTTGTGTTCCTCTCCCAAGAATATCCTCCTTTGGCCTCACTGTGTGTGAATGTCTGGAGTTCTGTATAATTTACCAATGTCCAGTGTATGTTATATCTAGCTTCCACATGACCCTTTTGTTTCGCTGAGCTTGGCTTACCTAACTTAACATGAATTGTTCTAGATCCATCCATTTCCCTGCAAATTACATAGTATTATTCTTTCTAATGGCTGTGTAAAATTCCATAGTGTAAAGGCACCACGTTTTGGAGGCAATTCATCTATTGTAGGGTATCTGGGCTGTTTCTACAACCTGGCTATTTTGAATAGTGCAACAAGAAACATGGATGTGCAAGCATTTTTACACTATCCTGGCTTGTGGATAACTGCCCAGATAGCTGAATCATAGGGGAGATCTGTGTTTGTTTGTTTTTTTGAGGAGCCTCCAAATTGCTGTCCAGAGTGGTTGTACTAGTTTAGATTCTCACCAGCAGTTCAGTGGGGTTCCTTTTCCCCCACATTCCCTGCCAACATTTGTTGTTAAAATTCATGATGTTGGCCAGTCTAAATGGGATAAGATGGAATCTCAGAGTTGTTTTGATTTACATTTCTATAATGACAGGAATGAAGAACATTTCCTTATGGGTTTCTTTGTCATTCATTACCTCTTCTGAGAAGGTTCTCCTTAGTTCTTTACACATTTAATGGTTGGTATATTAGGTTTGGAAGGGGTTAGTTTCTTGAGCTCCTGGTATATTTTGGATTAGGCTTTTGATGTAAAGCTGGTAAAGATCCTCTCCTCATCTGTTTATTGTCTTTCTAGTTTAGTAAATATGTCCTTTGCTGTGCAGAAAATTTTTAGTTTGATGTAATCCCATTTGTCAAGTTTCTCTCGTAGCTGTTATATCCCGGGACTCTCTTCAAAAAGTTTCTGCCTATGCCTATGAGTTCTAATGTTCCTCTTACTCCCTCTTGCAGTAATTTCAGAGTCCAGTCTAACATTGAGGTCTTTATTCCATTTTGAGTTGATATTAGTGCATGGTGACAAACTTAAAATCCCCTTTCTTTTTCTGCATCTGGATGCCCAGTTCTCCCAACATCAATTATTAAACAGGCTCTCTTTATTCAACTGTATATCTTTGGCTCCCTTATCAAATATCAGATAACTGAAATAGATAATTTTATTTCTGGGTTCTTCTAGTCTATTCCATTGATGTTCAGGCCAATTTTTCTGCTAATATCAAGCTGTGTTTGTTATTATAGCTCTGTAATAGAGCTTGAGGTCTGGGATTGTGATACCACCAGCATTGCTTTTATTCCCCTAGAATTTTTTTGGCTATTTGAGTCTTTCGTTGTTCCAAATGAATTTCTGGATTGTTTTCTCTATCTCAGTAAAAAACATCATTGGGATTTTGATGGAGATTGTACCGAATTTGTTATTTTTTATCAGTATGGCCATTTTCTACCTATTTATGAACATGGGAGGTCTTTCTATTTCTGATCTCCTCTTTGACTTCTTTCTTTAAAATTTTATAGTTTTTACCATAAACATCTTTTACTTCTTTGGTTAAGTTTATTCTCAGATATTTAGAATTATTTCTTTAAAGCAAAATTTCATTAAAACATTTGATCATGCATTTTGTTTAGTTTTATGATAAAATATTGTATGTTCAAAAGTCCTCAGGAGTTAATAGAGCTTCCAGGATGATCCTTCTCCATGACATTCACTTATCATATTTCTATAGACTTGTAGATATTAGACATGCTATGGTCAAAAATGTCCTACATGCTATACATAGACACAGCCTCATCCCTATCACTTCTAGACATCAAGATAGGTCAACCAATTACAAGCTGTACACTAGGGTGGAGAAAAGAAATTGGTTGAGTTTTTCTGGTGAATTTCACAGGATGTAGTGAGTTTTCCCAAGGAATTCTCTAATTTATTAGTTGAGACATATTACTGACTCCATTAGTTTCCTAGGTTGCCCTTTTCAATGTAGTTTTGAACTTTGGATGCCAGAGAATCCAAAATAAATATGCCTAAACCACTCTCTGAATTTTAAATTGCACTCATCCAACTGGAAATATGGGAGTTACAATTGAGTTTGTGGTCAAGAGAACTGTACCATGCCAAAACAAAGCCACTGTGAAATTGCTCTTCCAACTGCTTTGGCATCATCTTTAAGACAGAACTAGTTGTCTTATTGAAAAAGCATCACTTCCTTTTCTAAAAATCAGTGTAGATGGGCTGTGAATGTGGCCGAGTGGTTGAGTGTTTGCCTAGCATGCATGAAGCCCTGAATTCAATTCCTCAGTACCACACAAACAGAAAAAGCCAGAAGTGGCATTTTTAAAACACAGTCAAACTTCTTGTTAACATAGTATAGTATAGAAATGCTAAAGTTTAGGCATGTATAATAGGATTTCCTTCATCAAGAGGAAAGTACATGATTCTATTTCTTAATATTTGATATTAATGTCATAAAATGTAAACACTGTTATGTCATAGACTATTTGATTACAGTTTTATCTGAACCTATCTCTTGAGCTGAGAAGCCAAAATGATGATCAAATTCATTGTTTACTGCCAGTAGCATTCTTGAGGCATTCATAGTCTTCTCAGATGTTATATGAACTTCTCTTCGAAAATCTTAGCATTGATGGTTCATTCACAGATGTACTTATAGTGATCTTAAAGTATTCTTGTCTTCTTTCAGTCATTTTCTCATCCTATTATGTTTCTTCATAAAGCAGTTTATAATCTTACCTGGAGTTTTTAATTAGGTGCTAGATAAGGAATTATTTTCATGGACAACCAAATTCAGCAAAGACAACTTACGTCACATTAAAATATTTTTAGCCACAGAATTTATGCTTATGTCACTGTGCATCTCCCAGGGAGAAATGGAATGTGTGAGAACTCTGAGTATTTTGGCTGCTGAATTTTTCTCCCTTAGAGCAGTAACTGTTATGACTAGAGTTCTGTCACTCTTGGGAATTTAGTAAAATCCTCTTTACTTCTCATGTCCTGCCACCACGATGGGACTTGTGGGGCTTATTCATATCTATTCTCAAACAGAAGGGGTGTCCCAATATTACATACAAACACACATGTAATCTTTTCAAATGAATTGTTCTTACCTGGAATCTTACACAGAGGTCAATTAAGAGCCATTGTGCAAAAGGACTTAGTAGATTTTATAGAAGATACAAAAATATGCTGTTTTTCATTGTAAAGTTGATACCACATATCTAAAAGCTGGTGATTGCTTTATGAGCAGGGATAATAGGTCAGATAGTTAACCTCAACCATAATAATCTTGTTTTACACAATTCATAATCATAATAATAACCACTGCTTTGAGGTATCTGTTACATACTAGGCACTATGTAAAATAATCTACATATATAATCTCACTAAATTCTCACACCCACCTCAAAAGTCTAAATTGTAACTTGGGACTGTTGGCCTACAAAAAAAAAGGAAAATTAGAGTCTCTTCATGCTGTCACAACCTCAGATTGAGTTGCAACATTAAATTGCTTATAGCAATGCTGGATTTTCCTTAATTGATATTATTGCTCTTAAGTATGAATGTAGTTGTTATTTTTTCAATACATCAACCCAAAAATTGCACAAAAGGCAATCTACATGCTTTATAATTAGCAAACAATCAGAAAATCAATCTATAGGCTAGCTAAATGGCTTCATGCATACTACTCTAACATTTACAGTTTTCTAAATATCAGTCTAATGAGCATTTGGAATATGAGCTGATCACTAGACAGTAAAAGCCAATCAGATCATGAAGTGTGGAGGCAGGTTGAAATTTTCATTCTGCCATTTCCCATGTAGTGACCTCAGGCAGAATTATGCCTGGCTTAGAGTGTACACTAAATAAACAAACTATCTAATTATCAGTCCTCTACCAAGTTACCATTATTTATCACTGACTGAATATGTAACTATACCAAAAATCAGCTTTTACAAGTAGTCCCAGTGATCAGTCTCATTACTTTAGAGACTTGTCCTCATTTTGTATTTTAGGCACCCTAAGAGTAGTAAAATGGTCTTGGGGCTACTGAGAACACAGAACTTTTCTTCACTAATTTTTTCCCTAAATACTTTCTCAATGAAGATTTTGAGAACAAATTCTCAGAATTCATGTTCAACCTCTGGCTCTTTGCTTAGTACTGGCCACCTTCTCTTCCCTGTTGAGTTGCTTTAGTCTATTTCTGAGGTAAACTCTTCATGATATCTGTTTTGTCTTGATTCTCAGCCCTAGTGTCTTCTTTTTCTTTGTAGCCCAAGCAGCTCTCAGCAGTAGTTGTTAACTGTTGTTTATTAAATCAGACCCTAAAAATAATATTTGGAGATACTTGTGATACATTTCTTTAAAAACAGAATAAATTAATTTTTCCATGTTTTTCTCCCTCCTCTCCATTCTCTGACAAATACTTATTGAATTAAAAAATGTTCTATGTTTTAGTGTCTTCTCTTTGTCTTATGAGTAGAGTTTGTACATATCTTAGAACTATTTTCTTTCTTGATTTTAAATCATAGGTCAATCTTGACATTTCATTACTCAGAGCTTTACTATGTTGTTACTGTTATTTATTGTTTATTCACTTATTGCTGATGCCTACTGAGCTCTCATTTCACTTTTGGTTGACAATTTCTTTATCCACAACACTGCTTAAATATACCCTGTGCCTTAAAATTGAATTTTTTGACTTATTTTTATTTGTGCCTGCTCTGGTTTCTATCTGATATAACCAACTTCTGAAAATCTAATCATAGATTATGCTCCAAACCATTCAATCATGAAGAATAGATACACTCAGTGATTCAACTTCACAAGTGAAAACAAATTTCTTATTAGAAACCTGAGCTATCACTGTTGTTCAGTATACTGATGAAAGATTTTGTTCAAAACTCACGTCATTTCTTCACTACACAACAAATACATTTTATTTCTTCAAATACTTTCTCTTTCAACATTTTTATTGTTAAAAATTAGATTAAAGAGTTAAGTATACTCATCTAAAGTATTCCCTGTCTCTCTTAGTTTTTACTACATGATCATAATATTCTAAGTTTCTCTTTTTAGGAATTCTGCTTAGGGATTTATAAAAAAAATGTCTTGGAGATAGATGTTATTTTTATTTCACCAGAGATGCAGGTTAAGGAACCATGAAAAATGAATGAAATTATAAATGTCTTTGGCTACTGACAGAAAAAAATGTTTAAAATTTTTCTATATTTAAAAAATGTAAATACAACTTCCATATATGTATAATAGATGCTACTTTTTAAATATACAAATTAAAATCACCTAAATTTCTCATAATTTGTAATACACAGACTATTGCTCCTCCACTTATAAGCCTTGCAGTTTTAATTACAATAAAGTAGATATATTAACTTTACCAAACACCATTAGCATTAAATAAAAGTTAGATTTTTTAATTTTTTTCTTTATTATTTAGTCTTTCCCCAAAAATATAGTTTAGAGAAAAAAAACACTCTTACCTAGTGTTACAGACATCATTAAACAGTTTTTTAAAAGTTCAGCAATTAACCTGAAGGTAAACTTTTTAAGCTCAAACTGAGTGAATTTCTAGAGAATAATAACCTTGATCTTTTCAGGAAGTTCCTGGTGTTCTCTGAGTTACAGAATAGGGTCATTCATACCATAAGGATGATGCTTATCTAGTTTTGGATCTCCTCTTGATATCAAGAAGATTGAAGTGGATATTTTTCAGATTCTAAATTAATGCAGTAGTTCTCTTCTTCCTCTGCTTTCTTTCCTTCTCTTGCCATTTCTAACCTCAACTTCCTTCCCTAAATTTTTCCTCCTTCCCTCTGTCTAGCTCTCTGTCTCTGTCTCTCTCGGTCTCTTGCTCTTGATGTTTTACTCTTTCTTCCCTTCCTCCTTTCTCTCCTCTCTCCCTCACCCTGTCCCTCTCTATTTCTCTATATTTGTATCTTCCTCCCTTCCTCCTTCTTTCTTCATTTCTCTCTCTTCCTCCCACTCCTTTCTTTCTGTTTTGCCTTTCCTCTCTGCCTTTCTTCCTCCTTTCTCTCTCCCTGTCTCTGAGTGTTTCTCTTCTTCATGTGTTTGTCTTCTTGTCTTTCTGACTCTTGACTATCTCTCGCTCCTTTATTTACTGAGACTATTTGCACAATAACTATCTTTCTACTATGACATCAGCAAGAACTATAGTTTCCTCCCAGAAGCCATGTTATCTACAGGGCATGTGAACAGATTGAGTTGATACAATGGCCTCTCTCCTTCTGCCTGCTCATCTTCCTTCTTGCCCTCTACCTGCCTCCATTCTCATTCAGGTTGAATAATCTGCCAGTTTCTGTAACAGGAAATTAAACACATTTTTTTTCTGGAGTCTAAACCGTATAAGAGCCATTGCTCCATTGTAAAAGGCAAGAAACAAGAGGGAAATAAATTATTAAATTATTTTGAATAGTCAGTTGGGTAAGAGCCATTGGATTCTTTAAGACAAAAAAAACATGTTTTGTAGTATTATAGTTCATTTGGAATGTAGGAAGAATGAAGTTTTAATTTTTCTTTTGTTAAGACTGCCTAAAGATACTTTAAACAAAAATGAGTAATTACCTGAAATCTAAGTCAATCAAATTGATTCACACCCAGAATTCTTTCCTGCTCATCTACTTGGATTGGAATGATTTAATATGCATGTTTAAGTTTCTCCTAAAGGAAAATCACCAGGAGGGAAAACACCGGTGAAGAAGTCTCCTCCTGTTAGCTCTTCAGAAGCTTCACCCACTCCAACAATGCCACCGCCACCCAAGCCAGGATCAGAAGAATGGGTCTATGTTGATGAGCCAATTCCTGAGGTATGGCAGCTTCCAATCAAACTTCTAGTTATTATGAAATTCACACCATTGATTTTCAGCATCACCAAGTCTATAATGGCTAGTAATATGTATGTTGTTAACAAGGTCGGGGGCAACTTGCCTGTGTGAGGTCCTGATTTCCATCCTCAGCATTGAAAACATAGTATCTGAGGTAAACTTTCCAGACATTTCATTGAAAACCACATCTCAAATTTTTCCTTCCTTACTGGAGTTTCTGAGTCATGCTTTGAAGCGCTGAAATAAGGGAACAATGTGTTCTATGAGGGCCAATTCGCTCCCTGAGGACAAGCAGAGATTCCGTTTCCTAGAAGAGGGACTGCCACTGAACACACCAACCAGATAATTTACAGCCTTCCGTCCATGTTCCAATGTTCACATCACAATGCTTTTAGATGAAGTTTCACATCTGACCATTTAGAACTAGAAGATAATTTTTAACTTAACTAAACCTGTTAAATGATGATGATGATGATGATTATGCTGATAATAATAATAATACCAGATACTTAACTTTAGACCCTGAAATTCAAGGACAAGACAAGTAGATGCCCCAGGAGAACCCACTGTCCTCCAATAGCTGCAAATGTCAGCTGCGTACTTACTCCTAGCAGCCCTAATGGATTAATTGCCTTGGGAAATAGCACACAGGGTGGTGATTTATAACTTTTCAAAGGCAAGGAGTTCTTCCAAGACTAAATCCCATATTTTTTACTGTAGTCTCTTTTTTACAGTGGTTTCTTACTATCATGATGGCAAGGGCTCTCTATATCAGGTATTTCAGATCCATCCTACATTGAGGCAATTGTGATAGTGCTGCTGTTGGTTCTGGGTTTTCCCAGAGATAGCTGATAGCCCAATTTGGTTACAGATTCATTGGTGGGACAGCATGAGAGCATGAAGAGTAAGTAATAGAATTCTACACAGAATCAAACTTAGATTCTTGATTAATTTTGAGTAATTTAGTTAATGAACATGAGGACAAGATTAGAACAGACTCTTAAACGATATATATCCATATATTATATATTTTACATTTGAAATTTGATATCACTCAACAAAAGAGAATCTTCTATATATATGTATGTATGCACATATATATTATGTATACATGTATTCTTATACACACATATATACATTATATGTATAATATATATGTACATATGTATATACATAGATATACATATATTTATATATTTGATATATAGAAGAAGACTTTAAAGGAGGGAAATTTCGTAAGAGAAAAATATAGGAAAGCAAAACTAAAAGTTAAATTATTCCTCATATAAACTAGCTGGTTTGACTAGACCAGAATGGAAGGATAGTAATATGATTATTTTAAATGCTCCTCAGAACCATTTTGTAAAAGATAAACTAGAAAACAGTGATTGGAAGTAGGTCAGAAAAGGTTGTTAAAATGTCAAAGAAAAATTAAGTTAATCATCTCTAAATGATTAACTTTGATAAATGGACATTTGCAATATGTCTGAACATGAAATATTTTGGATCTTTAAGACTATCCTATCTCCATCCCCAAATCTACATCCAAAAATGTAACTAATGATAAGATGTTTCAGGGGGCAGGTCACCTTACAGCCACATAAACATTTAATACCCGTTACGTACAAACACTGCACTCAGGACTGACAGCGCAACGCAGGCAAGGGGGAATATAAGCTACAGCTTTGTACCAGACTTTAGAACCAAAGTACAGAGACTTACAATCACATAGAAAAATATAAGCTACAGCTTTGTACCAGACTTTAGAACCAAAGTACAGAGACTTACAATCACATAGAGAACAGTGGATTTAAATTGAAATATAATAAAAAACATTCCCATTGTAAGGACTCTCAAAATGTGATTTCATTGGTTAGGAACAGAGAGAAGGAAAGTCCAAGAGTGTTTGAGGGAACATCTTTTAGGAGACAAACCTGGCAGGAAGACAGCTCTTCGTTCACGTGGGCATTAAAAAAAATGCTGAGTGAAGCATTTGGCCTTTAGCTACATAGTAACAGAACCCATCCATGTTCTTATGCAAGTTACATATTAAAATCCACTTTCAAAATAATAACTCAGAAAAACAGGACAGTGCACTGATTAAAAGTGTAAGCTGTGACTAGTCTGTTTTAAAAAAATATTGTAAAGGTGATGAATAAGGGGTTTACAGTTATATAAGTAAGGTAGTACCGAGTACATTTCTTTTTAAACACTGTTACCACCTCCCTCATTTTCTCTGGCTTGTCCACCCATGACACTAAAGAGCTGGTGTCACCTAGTACACGCTATTTAAGCCCTATTGCCACAACTGCTTCACCTTTAAATGAGAAAGCTAACAGACACTGATTTTACAGGTGGTTGTAAATTCCTTATATAGGACTAGCTGATTTCACAATACTGTTTGAGAATATTCAGAAGATTCCAAAGTTTTGTCAGAAGGCTTTTGAACTACTCTAGACAAGTATAAGCATTAACAGAAGATGGCAAGAAAAGATAAAAATCTATGTAGGATTCAGAAAAGGTGTCTTTCAGATTTTTCATTTTGCACTCCCTTCTTGTTTCATGATGCTCTACCCTCATTAGCCTGAATTCTTGTCCTTGAATGTGCCAGAACCTTTCCACCATAGTGCTGTTCCTTATGCTCACAGTGTTCATTACTAAAATTCCCCTTCTTTACAATCTACTTAAATAATATATATATACATGTGTGTGTGTGTGTGTGTGTGTGTGTGTGTGTGTGTGTGTGTGTGTATACCTTATTCACCACCACACTCCTATGCTCTATAATAGTTGCTCATAGAATTGCCAGTCAACGAGTAAATCTTGATTGATTACTTACTGGCCTGGACATAGTAACACAATGAATAGAATGACTTGAACACAGTGAATAGAATGACATGAATCCTGCATTTTTGCTTGGCTTTCTCCTTATGAATGATAACTGCTTAGCAAACCAAGAAAGAAGACAGTATGAATGGCGGCTATCCTTCTTCAAATACCATAATGAAGGTCAAAAAGTTGAAAGCAAATTCACACTAAAACATCACATTTCTCATGGAAAAATGACATGAGTTGTAAGAGAACTTCTGCTTTAAAATACTCTGCTTACTACATCCACAGAAATTGAATAATATATCTTTAGTACTTGGCATTTCGTGATTGGAAAGTATCCGGATGACTTCTAATGAATACACATGTGACTCCCTGAGTAAATAAATACACAGCCAATAGAAGAATAACTATATAACACATTTATATTGACTATAGTATATAACCTCGCTCTATTTCATGGATCACTTCTCACATTTTCATCATCTATCTGTGTTATTGCTGCTAACATGAAACAGATGTTCTAACCCCCGTGGCACACAGAGCAAGGACACAGTGTCCTGGGGAAAGTCAGAGAAGGATCTCCCTTCCACCCTGACATCAGCACCGGGAAGTGCTCCAGCTGAAACAAAATATGGTTATTCTATTCATATGATCCATAAACATATTTTGAGGACCTGCTAGGTCTCTGATACTGTGGTAATTACAGAAAAGATTGTATTGTTTCTCACTTAACAGGATTGATATTCTGGAGTGGAATGCAGATAATAGGCAGTTTAAGTTAATATCATCAGTACTATCACAATGGGACAAGCATAGGGTACTAAGAGAAATCCTCAGAGCATCAGACTGGATCAGAGAAGGAGTAATGTCTGTGCTGAGAAGTGAGGAATAGGAGTTCACTGGGGGAAGAGGAGTAAAAAATTTCACCCGGCATAATCTGCTTAGTTGCTTCACCTTGATCTTCTTGCTTATTTTAAACCAAATATTCAGAAAGATCTTCATTTTGAAACAACTATTTCTGCTCTTTATCATTTAACAGGAAATAACTTCATTTTTAGTGCCTTACTGGGAACTGATAGAGAATTCCTATATCAACACCATCAAAACTGTACTCAGGCATCTGCGAGAAGACCAGTTCTCTGTGCTCGTTTACTTGTATGAGACCCGGTAAGGAAGTTGCCCATGTCAGAATTCTATCCTTTACAAGCACGACACAGAAAAAATGCATGTCCTTCTCTTAATTCCTTACAGAACAAGTTTCCAGGAGTTTCTAAGACGTCCAGATCACAAGCAGGATTTCGTTTCTCAATGGCAGGCTGATTTCAACTCTCTTCCCGATGATCTGTGGGAAGATGAGGACACAAAGGCTGAGCTACACCAACGAGTGAATGTAAGAACCACAGTGCCCATTGGCCTCAATGACTACCTTCTCATACTTTGTCCAACAAATACCAGTTCCTGTCCTTCTTACTTTCAAGGACGGCAGCCTGAAGGTGGCAATGCTTTGAATAATTACCACCCAGTTTACTTTCAAGAGCTGACATTCACCTGCAGTTTGATTCAGAATGAGAATAGAGCAAGTCCACCTCTGGGAAGAAGGCCCCCCTGGGCATCTGCCTCATAAAGTCTTATCCCCAGTTCTTACGTGGACTATGTAGCTGTGTCCAGTCCTAATGCGAATCCCATGCCTACCTTGAATGCAATTACACAATCAGTTCATTGCAAGGTAGGAGGACCCAAAGCATAGCTTTTATTGTATACGTGGAGTTACCTCTCCTGAGGGCAGATGTCAAACTTTACATATCTTCATATCCAGCAAGCCAAGGGTTGAAAGTTTGTAGACAGGTATATTTTCAGAAATTCATGAATGAGTTTTGTCACCCTGCTACTCTAAACAAGGGCTTCTAACGTACAAGATATCAGCCTTTCAATCTTCATCTCTCCTCTGAAAATTGATAGACATCTTATCCCAGTAGAAGTATAGGCTACTAATAGTTGAATCTGGCAGTGATCTCAAGAATTATTTGTGAAACAAATACATCACTGAACTCAACCCCATGACCCATCATTTGCTCTGAAACTCTTTGTTAAGCATCATGATTCCAGCACTGTTCAAGGGCAAGGAATTCAGCAGCGAACCCAACGCTGTGTGGTCCAGGAAATTTATATTCCGGTAGCCAGGGTACAGAGAACTAGTGACAAACAAATACACTCATACTGGGTATTTTATAAGTGATAAGAGCTGTTGAAAGGACAAGGAACTAGGAAACTCAGCTTCTAGTTTTAAGATCCTGTAGAGATCAATTGGGAGGCTCTTAGAATAGAGGCTAGGTATCATGGTGGCCCAGATGATGGGCAAGTGCTGAAGAGTTTAATACCCTTATAGGTAGCATATGTCTTAGTAAAACTGACATTTTAAACCTGTTCTTAGCTATTCCTGAAAGTACTAAGCAACTATGTAAATCCTATGACCGCCTTTTTCAATCTCTTTCCTGCCCATTTATAAATCCAGCCTCAAGTTTTTATACATATTACCCATAGCAATGAGATGATTGTTGGTAGAAAAAGAGAAGATTTAGAAATTCCAGCTTTTTATTCTTTTTTTTCAGAGTGTATTGACTCTTTGTTGCATTCCTTCAATTTGCATTAAACAATATAATATTAATCTTGTTCAATATAGTTTTGGACAAAACACAGACATTAACCTCAATGAACAAGAGACACAAGTTAATACAAAGTGTGCTGCTTCAGCAGAGGAGAGAGGCAGGACCAGAAATGGGATCCAGGATACTGGCCACCAGCAATCACAGATTTTCACAATATAAGCCACTATTTCAAAAGCCACAAATAAGCCAGGGAAAACACAACAGAAATAGACAGACAGCAGGATTTAAAAATGATTTGTCCTCTACTGTGCAGAAACATCAGGCTTTTTATTCTAATTGCAAATGCACAGTGTGTTTACTGTCGATAATTAGATGATGAAAAAGACAAAATTTAATATTATAAATCTGCAATTCTACCGCCAATATTTAAATACACTTTAGGGCATGTCTATGTGCATTTCCAGATTATTTTTACAGAAATATGATTGCAACATAGAAGCTGTTTTGTAACATTCTTTCTTCATCGGAACAGTACATTTTTGTTTTTAATAAAGATTGACCTGGAGCTTTATTTTTATGGCTAAATGGTATGATTAATCATACAGATTGCTACCATTAGTCGCAATTTCACTAACAAAACTTGTTAGGCAGCAATTTTGTTATTATAGGAAATTATACATAATAAACTTTTATCTAGCTAAACACTGATTACATTTTTAATTGTATTTTAGGTCATTATTGAAAATAGAGAATAAAAGGGTAAATAGTTGAATAAAAGATTATTACATTTTAAAGATTATATTAAGTCATCCATTATTAAATTCTAACTGCTTTTTAAATCTTTGTCAACTTAATGACTAATTTAATTTCTAATTTAGCATAGAAAATTGAACTTTTATTTTTAATAAGGTTGACCTTTCATCCCTGAGTTTAATGATCATTTTTTGAATCCTGTTTGTGATTTCTACACACTTTTCTGTTGAAGTGGGCTTATTTTCTTATTGATATCTATGACTTCTTTATATCTTAAGGATGTAGACAATCTATTGATCATATATTACAAACGTATTGCCAGTTTAATGTTTGCCCCACATTTTAGGTGATTTTTAACATGCACAAAAAATCAATGTTTATGTAGATAAATATAGAAATATTTTATTATAGCATTTTGTGGCCAATTTAAAAACACTTCTTCATGGCAAAATTAAATACACATGTACCACTATTTTTAAAACTTTCTAGTGTTATGTTTAACTTATAAATACTTAAATTATATTACTTTAATAGAGACTTTGAGTTTGTACTGCGTTGCATATGGCACACTTTTCTCTATATATAACCATTTATTTCTCCTTAGTTACATATGGTCCATATATTTCCTTATAGGATTTTTCTTAATTTATTGTTAGACTTGAAAATAAAATATATAAATGTAACCTGAAAACAAATCTAGAAGTCAGACCTGAAGGGAGGAGGCAGAATTAATAGAGATAGAAGTAGAATTCTGCTACTGTCATAAGTCAGTATTTATTATATCCCCGCCCCCCAAAAAACACTTATGTCAATACAAAGGAGATGTCAAGATCAGCTCTAAAATATAGCAATATATTCTGATGAAAATGATGTATGACATTTTCATTGGGGGTACAGTCTCTACATGGTAACAAGCCAAAATGCTAAAGTAAGAGTCCAAATACAGTGTTCCAACTGGAATCAAACTCCTTGGGTTTGAATTACTGGCTCTACCAGCTCAAAACCATAAGCAAATAACCTGACCTCACATTACCTGAATTATCTTCTCAGCATCCTCCCAGCTCTACTGATTCTTCATTGTAGGCATATTCATTCTGACTTGTTTCCCCCATCTGCAATATGAAGATAACACTAAATGGGATGATGCGAGCGTAGTGATGAATGCTTTAACATGTATTAGGAAGAGCTCATTACCAATTATAAAACTGAAATTTACCAATTAAAATGGTAAATTTCAATTTTATAATTTACCATTTGAATTACCATTTCAATTGAAATGGTAAATTATAAAACAAACAAATAATGTTTTATTTAAATTGCCCCATTAAACATATTACATATAAATAGTATATTCAAGATTATTATTGCTCAGAATCTATTATGTTGCCAGGCTGAAATTCTTCAAAAGAATTTATTGATAACTCTTTAATACAAAACTTACTTTTGGACCACCCATTAAAATCAAACTATATTTCTTGGCAAATAATGGTGTCTGCCTATGATTACTGATTATGAAGCCTTGATTTCGGTGAAGAAATGTATCATTTCCCATCCACAATACATTATACTCAGAAAATGATTTCCAACCAAAGAATCTTACTGAGAAAGTACTGAAACACATAATCACCCATGGATAAATGTCACTTTAGTGGATTTGCATTTAATGTGAACACATGATTTGAAAGCAGAACCAAAAATGATTACCAGTTGAATGAATGACTGTAACACATGAGGTCTAGATTTTTGTTAGAGACATTTATAACAGCAGCAAAGATTTTACCTCCATCACACTGGGGTGATTTGAACCGTGATCATTCAGCAGAACTGTCTTTCTCTCTCCTCAGGATTTGCGAGACCGCCTGTGGGACATTTGTGAGGCTAGGAAGGAAGAGGCTGAGCAGGAGCGGCTGGACATCATTAATGAGAGCTGGCTGCAGGACTTCCTTGGAATCACCATGAACCACTTCTTTTCCTTGATGCAAGTAAGAGCAGCCGACCCCAGATCCCTCCCTGGGCAGCCATGTTTCTCATGGCACCAATCCTTGAATAGACTTCAGGTAATGATCATTTGTCCAAGATGCTAAAAAGCCAGAAGCCTACATGAGAAGGACGAAAGTGAAGAACCTTTTAGAAGGTCTACAAAAGCCCATAGTACTGGTTTAAAAAGAAAGAAAGAAAAAAGAATAGCTAGAGTTTTCCAAGTTAGGTTCCCTGGAATTCTAGTTTCACAAACTAAATTTTGTTGTTAAATGATTCTGGTAAAGGCTAAAGAAATGTTATCATTTCCTCTCTCTGGGAATTGACACACATTAACATATTCAAATATCAAGATGCTTTTCTGCAAAGAAAATCTTTAAGTTAACTCAGCATTTCTTTAACTATTTGACCTTTAAATTGTGTCATTTATTCCTTCCCCAAGAAGATACACGCTAACAACTTCTAAGACAACTTTTTTACACATTTTTAAATTTTATTTTCTTTTTCTTTTTTTATTGTAAAGGTAATGTACAGAAGGGTTACAGTAACATAAGAAAAGTAAAGGGCGCATTTCTTTTTGAACAGTGTTACCCCCCCCTCTAGTTTTCTCCCATTACCCCCCTTTCCTCCCCCATCTGTAAAGTTTATTTGCAACACAGTGTCATGTGATTCTCACTGTTGCATTGGTTCAGCCTTTGTCTTTTGTCTCACCATTTCTTCTTATCCCCAATTCAGATAAACTTATATACAACACAAAGAATATGGAAATAAAAACAACAGGGTAAAGCACAGGGGGGAAATTGAAAGAAAAAAATAAATAAATGCATACAGTACACTAAGGAAAAAAAACATCTTCTCTATCTTGTAGTTCATTTCTATTAGCATCATTTTATAAGGTCATATGTACATGGCTATTGTGCTATTGTGATCCACTGCTAGAGCTACCCTAGACATATACTAATTAATACATATGAAGGAAACCACTCATCAAGTTTCCTAGTTCTGTTTGCGCATATACCTTGAATAATACACCTGTATTCATGCATTCTATTCATCTACCCCCACTCTCTAGCTAAGATATGCTTAGCTTCCTAATATTCATTTTATTAAATACCTGATAGTTGTTCAAAGGGATTATATCATACCATCTGTGAGAAGAATTTCAATTCTTTTTATGTGGCAATCCTGAATATGGTATTGTATCCTATTCAATTTTGGTATATAATAAATCACAATTTACCTCCCTGAAAATAAATTAATCTCTTATACAAAACAAACATTATATAAGGTAGTCCTAAGGCACCGATATCAGTGTAGGCCCACATACCAATTATTAAAAATAAGCTTTTTTTCTAAACCTAGTTATTATTGAGAGTTCAGTTCTTCAAGAATTGAGATGAGGACTTGGAATGTGGCTCATTGGTAGAGTGCTTGCCTTGCATGCAGAAAGCCCTGGGTTCAATTCTTCAGTACCACATAAACAGAAAAGGTCAGAAATGGCACTGTGGCCCAAATGGTAGAGTGCTAGCCTTGAGCCAAAGAAGCTCAGGGACAGTTCCCAGGCCCTGAGTTCAAGCCCTAGGACTGGCAAAAAAATTGAAATCTATTTACCAATTAGTATAATATTATGGATTAAGGATTATTTTTAGAGTCCCACAACACTTTTCTTCAATTCTCCAAAGTTACTTATCAATACCCAGATTGTGCTAATGGAGTATACATTTGTATATTCTTATAATGAATATTATAAGTGTGGTATTGTGCAAGTTTGTTTTATTCCCATAGTTTTACAAACCTAAGCATGACATTTACAGAATCTACATTGTAGCATTGGTACTGTGCAGATTCTCACTGCATGTATTGCCAATAAATGACTTATCTTGATAGAGTCACTCATATGAATAACTGATACTTGTTTTGCTATCAGCTCCTTTGTGCTGCTTCATCTCCTCACAAGCCTCCTGGCAATCCCAGCGAAAAATTCCAGCTTTCAGCATTGGAGATATTATCTCGGTGCTGTATATGCTTAGCAAGAGGAAAACTGCAAAGAGAACTATTCATTATCACATTATGATGTTATTTGTTATGCATCCACACTAGTGAATACTGCTCTAGAGCACAAGACTATCATTTTGCATTATTTTTGTTTCTGGTTTTGCATTTCTGCCTAAAGCATTTTTGGTATCACTCAAATCAAGTAATGTGTTGGCAATGACAACAAAGATACTTCATTGTTTGTTAATATATGATTGATTGATCCCTGGCAGCAATAAGAATACATAGCATCAAAACAATGCACACTTCAAGCATAATGCCTACTAAAACCTTTTGTCACAGTATGGAGAAGCATAGAAATATCAGTTTCTTCAATGTAATCAAGTCAATAAGTACACAGAGTAAAAGTTACCTTTAAAATCAAAACAGAACTTAGAAAGTGGAAAAACCTCCCATGCTCCTGGATTGGAAGGATCAACATCGTGAAAATGGCAACGCTTCCAAAGGCTATCTACAAATTCAATGCAATACCTATCAATATTCCAACCCCATTCTTCAATGAAATAGAAGAGGCAATTCAAGAATTCATATGGAACAATAAAAGACCCCGAATAGCAAAAATGATCTTTAACAGAAAGAACAGTGCTAGAGAAATATCAATACCAAATTTCAAACTCTACTACAAAGCCATAGTAATCAAAGCAGCTTGGTACTGGCACAAGAAAGACCTCAGGACCAATGGAATAGAACTGAAAACCCAGAAATGAACCATAGACCTATAGCCACCTAATCTTTGATAAGGGGGCTAAAAAAAAACAGAATGGAAGAAAGACAGCCTCTTCAGTAAATGGTGCTGGCAAAATTGGTTAACTACTTGTAGAACACTAAAGCTAGATCCTTCTATATCACCCTGCACCAGAATCAACTCCAAATGGATCAAAGACCTTGGAGTCAAAGCAGATACCCTAAAAACATTACAGGAAGGAAAAAGAGAAACCCTAGGTCTTCTTGACACAGGCTGAAATTTTCTTATTAGAGACCCAGAAACTCAACAAATCAAAGAAAGGTTGGACAAATGGGATTGAAGAGCTTCTGCATGGCAAAGGACATAGATTGCAAGATCAATAGAAAGCCCACAGATTGGGAGAATATCTTCACTAGCCATACAACAGACAAGGGTCTCATATCTAAAATATAGCTGGAACTCAAAAAAATTAAATCCCCCAACAACAAATCCTCAAAGAAATAACTGCCCAATAAATAAGTTGGCTAAAGACTTAAAGAGAAACTTCTCTGAAGAGGAAAGAAGGATGGCCAATAGACACATGAAGAAATGCTCAACCTCTCTAGCCATAAAAGAAATGCAAATCAAAACAACATTGAGATACCACCTCACCCCAGTTAGAATGGCTATAATCAAGAACTCTATAACAACAGATGCTGGAGGGGATGTGGCCGGAAGGGAACCCTACTGCATTGGTGGTGGGAGTGTAAACTTGTTCAGCCACTTTGGAAAGTAGTATGGAGGTTCCTCAAAAAACAAAACATAGAGTTCCCCTATGACCCAGCAATCCCACTTTTGGGCATTTACCTGAATGATCACAAACAAGACCATACTAAAGCTACCAATATAATTATGTTTATTGCAGCATTATTTACCATAGCTAACATATGGAACCAACCCAGATGCCCCTCAGTAGATGAATGGATCAAGAAAATGTGGTATATATATACACAATGGAATTCTATGCCTCCACCAGAAAGAATGACATTGCCCCATTTGGTAGAAAATCGAAAGACTTGGAAAAAATTATATTAAGTGAAGTAAGCCAGGCCCAAAGAAACATAGGTCCCACAGTTTCCCTTATTTGCAATAACTATTATATGTCTGAGACAAGCAGAAAAGGTCAAATAAGATTATGTTAGATGAAATGAACCACAAGATAGGGACACAAGTGTTTTTTTTCTTTCTTGCTATTGTTTCTAACATATTTATAAGGTATTACATGATTTTTTTGTTGCTTTGTATGTCCCCCCCCGCCATGGTATAACCCCTATTTTCACTGTATTTGATGTTGGTAAAATTTTGGGAGGGGTAGGGCAAAAACAAATCGTTTAAATAGGGATACAGGTGGACCTATTGCAATAATGAGATGTACAAGTCGTTATGTTGAAAACGAACTTCACAACTTTGGTAGGGGGGGGCAAGGAGGATTGGGGAGGGCAGGAGGAGAATGGGAAAGGATGGGAAGGGGAAACAAAGGAGGAGGCTACAATGCTTGATAAGAAATGTACTCATTACCTTGCTCATGTAATTGTAACCCTTCTGTACAGTATTTTCACAATAAAATAACTTATTTTTTTAAAAAAGTTACTAGTGGGGTGCCGGTGGCTCATGTCTCAGATCTCAGAAGGCTGAGATCTGAGGATCTCGGTTCAAAGCCAGCCCAGGCAGGAAACTCTGTAAGACTTTTATCTCCAATAAACCACTAGAAAACCAGAAGTGGTGCTGTGGCTCAAGCAGTAGAGCACTCGCTTTGAGCTGAAGAGCTGAGGGACAGTGCCCAGGCCGTGTTCAAGCCCCATGAACAACAAACAAAAAAAAAGTTACCTTTAACTCTTGTGACAGTGTTTTAGATATATACATATAACCAAGGCTCTTTTATTTTTTGAACTTCAAATATGTGGGGGATGAAATTTAACATGCCCTTTGATGCATACAGTGCATCTTGATCAGAGTCTCCTCTTCTTCATTTACAGTTGTACAATTTCAACATAAATGTTTTTTAAAGTAGTACTTAGAGAGCCTCATAAGGGCAATATGTGTAGCTTTATCTGTTCTTTCTTGAGTATTGACAGTCACGATTTCTGTTAAAGGCAGAACTGAACCGTTTCCAAGATACCAAGAGACTCCTTCAGGATTACTACAGCGTGATGGAAGGAAAAGTCCCAATAGAAGACAATGAGAGATTTACGAGAATCCCATTGGTTCAACTTGATGGGAAAGACATCTCAGAAAACCAGCTTAGGTGAGGCTCTTCATAGTATTATGCGATAATTGTTTTTGGATATAGAGCTGTGATTTCAAACTACTACAAAAAGAATATCACATTCCTTTTATTACAAATACAGATGGCCAATATTCTAAAAATCGAACATTTTTTTCTGACTCCAGTGTGTCATTGGCTTAAGACTACTAACTTACTTTATTTATACTGTGAAGAGTGTTATTTGTTCCTTTTTATGCACAGATGTTGTATTGTTATCTAGGAGTTCCTCTATTGGACATTTTAGGGGCATAAGTGGATATATAGTATGCACAAATTCTGAACTCTGAAACACTTGCAACATCTGAGCATCTCTAATAAGGGATTATGAACCTCTATTGTCTTTACAAAAAGATCCATCTTGTGTGTGTGTGTGTGTGTGTGTGTGTGATGTACATGAGTATGTGGGATACACACAGGTGTCTGAGGGTGTGATGCACACGAGTATGTGTGGGCATGATTATAGAAATGAAAATGGAATGGAAAATGGGACTTCACTCAAAGATGAGGGAACTGAGATATATGTGTGTGTGTGTGTGTGTGTGTGTGTGTGTGTGTGTGTGTGTGTGTGATGTACATGAGTATGTGGGATACACACAGGTGTCCGAGGGTGTGATGCACACGAGTATGTGTGGGCATGATTATAGAAATGAAAATGGAATGGAAAATGGGACTTCACTCAAAGATGAGGGAACTGAGAAATGTATGTGTGTGTGTGTGTGTGTGTGTGTGTGTGTGTGTGTGTGTGATTTTGACTTCATGAAACTGAAAGAATGATTAACTTGATATTAAATATCTGCCAGAGAGAAAGTAAACTTGGTAGTCAGACAAAAGAAAAATTGTTTTTAGTCACACAAACAGATCAGTATAACATAGAACTGTGTAGGTAGTTATTTTGAATAACATAGTGGATAGAAGCATGGTAAGTTTGGGATAACATCTGAAACACTGAAAAACTGAGCAGATAGAAAATAACGTCATCAAGAAATGTGGGGTAGAGTGGTTGGTAATTCATATGATATAATCTCCAACCAAGAAAAACTAAGAGTTCTTGCTTACTCTTGTAACATATCAAAATAAATGAAAGTAATTTAAAAAACAATTGAAAATCCTCAGTTAGTAAATGTATCAAATGAAAATAAATTGATGAAACATAAAGATGAGTTAAAATAGCATTCTCTCATATCAATAAACATTCAGATGAAAAACTATAAAGCAAAAACAACAAATAAAAATCAAGAAATTATAGAAATAATTTCTTATTAAGAATATAATTGTGTTAATAAAAATGATAAAAAGTGGATAAGAAGGAAAAAAGAAAGATTTCAAGAACAGTGTACAAGCACTGAGTGACAGGTTTAGTCTTCAAGGAGCTAAGCTACATATTTCACACTGAAAGTAGTATGCTCTTTCTGTAAGTTTGATCAACCAATATATGCAGTAGGAGTAACTCAAACAAAATGTATAGCAATGGATATTTTTCAAGTCAAGAACACTTGATTTCAGTTCTGGGTCTGTCACTTCCTAGTTATATGTAAGTAGGTTAAGACAATTATCTGGTCAAATCACTTCAACTCTCCAACTCAGTTTTCTTTGTCTATAAAGCAGGGTTGAGAATCAAAAGATTTGAAAGCTAGCCCCAATAAAACTCTCACCAAATGGGGTGTGTTAATACTATTCCACAATATGCAATTAACTATTCTTGCTTATATGCAATTTTCAAATTGTGCCTATTGCATGTGCATGCTTTGTTTTACCCTCCCTTGCTTTTTTCAAGGATTTGAGATCACATGAACACAACTGAATTAGCCATGTCCTAAATTCCGCTTCTCTTCATACTTCTTCCATTGACCACCCTCTTGGTCCTATCTGGCCACACAAATGCAGGCAATGAATACACAAGAAGAGAAGCCTATACCCTCATTTTGATTCAAACATAAGAGAAATGTTCAGCAAACTGCTGAAAAAGAAATGTGAAACTGAAACAATTAAAACTCTAGAGTCAGTATAAAGCATCAAAACCATCAAAAGGCCAAGTTTCAGTGTCTTCAGTGGCACTGCATTCTGTTCTTTGCACAAAATAGCAAGTCAAGAATAACCGGGAAGCTATTAATGTTGCTTAGTAGAATAAAACCTGCAAAAGAACAACCAGTTCTTATTTTGCACAGACTCTGTACCAATCTCAACCTCAGATCACTCTGTGGCTATCTGCTGGAAATATCAGATAATCATTATATCAACCAATCAACCAAGCCACAGTCTCTGTAACATACAGAAAGAACCAAGCATAGCAATGAGCATTTTTACGTAGCTTTTCCACTACAGTCCTCCCAACAGCTTTATAAAAAATGTAATAGTAATAAAGTAACATTATACATAACAGTAGTAACTACTAATTAGTTGATAATAAACAATAAATAATAATAATATATTTGTATATTTCCAAAGGGAGCATAAGTAAAGAAGGACCATGCCCCAAATTCACTTTCTCATAGTGGAAGAGCAGACTAGAATTTTTTTCTAATAAACAAATTAGAAGTCTGAATTTTTTTCCCAAATGATAGGCACCACTGCTGTGTTTCAAAGTAAGATGTTAGAGCATATTGTTGGACAGTGTTTTACATCTAGAGATGATTGCACAAACTTTACATCAACTAATTGGGCATACAAATCACAATTGAACTGGGCTATGATTTAGCATTATTTCATAACTTCACTTGTGGAGGGATGAGCAGTGAATCTCCAGATCTTGCCTTTCTTAAGTATGGTAGATTGTCAGCAAAGTTTCTGCGAAAGTGTTCTTGGGGCTACCCCTTTCCCATTCCTTCCCAAAGTTCTGTCACCATGGAACTGTTCCCATCACAATAATTATTCTATAGTGTGCATCTCTCTCTGTGTTAACCTTTGAGATCCTAGAATGTTCCAAATACACCATATTACCTGGGATAGCTCTGAAATTTCTACATGGGAACAGTAATATGGTAGAGAGAGGGTTGCGGAAGAGCCTAACTGTTCCTATACTTGTCCAATGCCCCAACTACACCAAATCCTTGCTGCCTCTATTCAATAATCATGTTCAGATCTCACATGTAATCTATGTAACATGCATACCTTGTCTCACATGCCTCCTATATAACTTTCTACTTCAAGACTTCAGATGATGCTAGATCTTAAAGAAAAGCCACACAAGTTCTATTTTGGCTTTTTTCATGGCTGCTTTGTTTTTCATTGGAAATGTTCACTGTGGACAAATTCCAGAGTGGCATTTCTTGATAATATCTAGTATCTTATCTTCTTTGTAGTTATTGACATTTAAGTCTGGAAATGATGTTTGGTTGTTTTTGAGTTTCCTTTTTAAAAAAAATTTTATTGTGAAAATACCGCACAGAGAGCTTACAATTACATGGGCAAGGTAATGGGCACATTTCTTATCAAGCATTATTGCCTCCTCCTTTGTTTCCCCTTCCCATCCCTTCTCATCTCCCCCCCACCCCCCTCCCCCTGCCCAGCCAAAGTTGTAAAGTTCGTTTTTCAACATAACAACTTGTACATCTCATTGTTTCAATGGGTCCACCTGTATCCTTATTTACATGGTTTGTTTTTGCCCTTCCCCTCCACAAATTATACCAACATCAAATACAATGAAAGCAAGGGTTATACCGTGGGGGAGGGACATACAAAGCAACAAAGAAATCATCTTATAAATATGTTAGAAACAATAGCAAGAAAGAAAAAAAATTTGAATACTTATCTTGGGATTCTTTTCACCTAACATCAACTTATCTAACCTTTTCTGCTTGTCTCAGACATATACTAGTTATTGCCAATAAGGGAAACCATTGAGTTTCCTCTTTGTAAGAATGTTTAAAGCATGAATATTTAAATATGCTGTTTTATCATCTGTTCTCCTTTGAAATAATGTGTCCAGGTAAACTTTAAAAATGCAAGTTATGCAACAAAACAAAGAAATACAGTTACAAAAACAGAATTCTGTTAAGTAAAATCTTTATGTTTCTTTGGATCATTTTCTGAAGGATTCCTCTAATCCCTCGAATATCTATTTCTCCGGAAATGGCTACACCCAAACCAAAAGTCAAAGCAATACTGAAAGGCAAGATTGATTACTCACTAGAAAACGTGGAAGCAAACTTTGAGGCTGATGAAAAGTTGGTGATGGACACATGGCAGCAGGCTTCATTAGCAATCTCTCACATGGTAAGCAGTGCTGATTTTCACATTTCTGTTTAGAGTGTTGGGATCCTATCAGTCATATGCCATAGGATCTTTTCAAGCATTTTATACGTGTTTGCCTGTATGCAGTTTTGTTTTGCTTCTGAAAGAAACAGGAAATCAAATGTTTTAATATTTTAAGTAAGAATTATTTCCAATCATTCAAATCATTTCTTGTATAAATAATTTTGAAAGCTTGAGATCATGCATAAAGTGAACCAGTGCTAGATAGTTTCCTGTGCTGGCGAGGATTACAAGTGAAGTAACCAAAAGGGTCAGTCAGGCCAGTGAATGAGGCAAGTCAAATGGGAGACAATGGGGAAGGTGGGACTGTGCTGGCAAACTTTGCTACTTACAAATGACCCAACAGCCAGATTTCCTACTCTTCTAAACAAAATACAAACCAGCAGAAATTCAGCTATTGATTGTAACAGTAGCAAATGAAATCTGATTTTTAAAAATACTTGTCAGACACAAGCGAAACAATTCAGTCTCCAATCCTCCTAAACATGTATCCTTTCCCTAGAGGGTCAGCATTATCTTTTACCTATGGGGTGAGTATTATTATCACATATCTATGGGGCAAGTATTATTGTCCCCTTTTCACTGGAGAATTAAAGTTCATGCACATGAATAAACTTGCCTAAAATCTCCCAGAAGGTAGGAGTCAAAATGAAATTTGGACTTAAGACTTCCTGATTTTTAAGGTTTATATCCCTTTCACCCACATTCTGGCTTGTTCCACCAGCCAACCCTCTCCTGACCTGATGGGATATCATCTATCTCTTTTCCATGAACATTACCAATTTCAATTTCATGGTTTAGGGAAGCTTTTCCTTTGAAAATCTGTTCCTTCTCCACCTGTTTCATTCCTGTACTTTATTTAAGTATTTAGAACTAGTTCTTGCCTTTATTCCTGACCAGGCAATTACCTCTTTTCCTAACACCCAGCCTTCTGTAATCATAAACTCTGCCTGTATTTGTAGCAGTTACTTTCTCTCTTATAAGCTTAGCTCTTTGTATCTTTCTAATTGTTTTCCAGAATATTCACCACACCACACCCTACAATTTTCCATATCCCCTAATCTAGCCCAGTGCCCGCATGTAGTGTAATACAGGGTTAAAGTGCTGTTGCTATTGTACGTACAATACTGATATCAGTAGTAATGATGATGGGACTGGCAGTAATGATTACCACAAAGAACCTAAGATATATGAAACACTACAGAGTAGAAAACCAGATGGAGGATTTCTAGGAAACAAGGTGGACTACTGTCCATAGAACTACATAAACATAATCTACAAAGACTTCTACAGCCCATTAAAAATTGCCTGGAAGAGATTGCATAATTTGAATATTATAATGTTTAATAAAATGAATAAATAATATTATAAATATTAGATTATATAAGTATGATTATCATTTGCATCATCTACATGTTGCATATTTAGGGAGGATTGCAGAGCCAAAGAAAATCATATCGATTGTGTTTTTCATAGTATTTAGCTGTGTTTTTAGGAAAATCTCTTAAACTAAGGCTTCAGTTTCTTCTGTGCAGCAAGGTATTCTTGAAAGATTGAAAAGATCCAACAAAGTAATGTAAATGAAACATTTTAGAAATTATACATATACTAGATATTTTTGATAGAAATTTATTTTAAAATTTATCGTTTCCTTCGTGGCTTTAAAAAAATCCTAGAAAGCATATGAACAAAAGGAATGCTTATTATTTAATATTACTAATAATTAGATCTTAATCCAGCTTTCACAAGTTTCCAGTAGACTTTGATGACTTGGAGGTCACATGCTCAAAAGTAGACTAAAAATAAATTATACTCATGGCGTTAGCACCCAGAATCCTGGATGTTTCAACCTATCCCTGACAGAAGACAAATATTTAAGGGAACTTTGAGTTCCTAATGATACAGCATAAATAAATGGATGTGGGCAGAAGAGTACTCTCTGAGATTAGTCCAATTGGAGTAAGAGCACTTTGACAGCTTTTCAATACAAAACTCTTAGCAAGAGCAATCCATTTAGTATGCCATGTTGATTTTTAGCAAAACTTTCTTCTAATTACTAGGTATGCAATAATTTCAAAGAAGTCATATTTAACGCCCACAATGTCAAAGCATTATATTTAAAGTTCTCTCCTGCCTTGGAAGCTAGATTGCTAAATGCATTGCAAATTGTGTTAACTTTTAAAAGAGATCCACAAGTCTTTAAAGGAAGTGGACCAAAAAAATACTCTACAGATTATAATCATTATCATCATCATCGTCATCATCACAAGGTTGTTTACCAAGGAGATAAATCCAATTTTAAAGGAAATTGCTAACTTACCATGATTTTCAAGAAGAGATTCAAAAATGAATTGCTTGCAATTTAGGGGAGAATGTTAACAAGTGTGCTTTCAGCTTTACCAAGAATTTGAAAGTACAGTATATAGCATGAAATCCATTTTTATCAAAAGAACATCTGTAGAAAAAATCAGAAAACAAAAACGAGAATACTGGTGTGCTCTTTTAATCTTTCCATATACATTCAAGGTATAGTTAATATAGAAGAAATTGTAAGTTTACTCTATGGAGTATGATTATTTTAGAAGAAAGGTTATCAGTTAATAAGCACTTGACATCAGCTGTAAACAGAGTGCAGGGACCCAACACTATGGAAAACTGTAAAGGCAGGTCTGGTCCTTAGGCCTGGGTAGCTTCATAGAGCATTTGAATAATGCGGTAAGATTAAACATTAATGTAACAGTTATGGACAGCTACATGCTAAGCTATGGGGATATAAGACAAGGCAAAAATTATAAGGCAGGAACTGACCGGTGTCTCTGATCCACAAGACTACATGAGGAAAGCATTGTACCTTGCCATTTGTCTACTAATCTTCTTCTTTCTCCTCCCTCTCCTTACCCTAATCTCACCAGAAATAATATCAAACTAAGGTACTGTAAGCATCTGAATAAAAAAATAAGCCCTCATTATCCTTTATTTGTGTGTGTGTAAGCTGGGACTAGAGTTTGAACACAGGACCTGTACTTCTCCTCACCTTTTTCTATCTAGGGGTGACCCCAGTGACACAAGCCCTAACATAAAGACTATATATAAATATAAATATGTAGCTCTCTATATGGTATATGTAGATATACACATATATTTATGTTTTCAAATTCAGAAATAGTAATTGCATATATTTTGGCTTACAATGGGATGTTATATTTGTAAACTTTGTGTAATTATTAAGGCTCATCATTCACATTCTGACTTCATTCAGTTACCATTCTTTTGAAGCAAGCATATATAAAATCTACTCTTCTGGCAATTTTGAAACCTATAGTACGTAACTATGTTCATCATGCTATGCAATACAACACCAGAACTTATTCCTCCCATCTAACTGAAACCATGTGCCTTTTAACCAGCATCTCTCATCTCCACAACTCCTCTGTCCAACCCACTGTCTCTGGGGAGACATTCCCTTCTCTGTTTCTATTAGATGATAAATGTGACATCATGCAGTATTTATTGTTCTGTGCCCAGAATTTTATACTTGGTCCATCTCTGCTTCATCTCTGTTGTACTGACACAAGGTTTGCTACCACCTACAGGCAGAGCTAATGTCAGAGGAGAGTTGGAGGAATCCTAGAAAGGCTTGGCTCTTCTGAGTAAAGGTTTCCTTACCCCTGGCTTGCATGGGATATAAATACACACACTGTTACAAGAACACTTTTGATTTTTTTTTTTTTGTCAATTGTGAGGCTTGAACTCTGGGTGTGGGCACTGTCACTAAACTCTTCAGCTCAAGGCAAGTTCTCTGTCACTTGAGCCACAGTGCTACTTGCAGTTTTCTGCTGCTTATTGGAGATCAGAGTTGCATGGACTTTCCTTGCCTGGGCTGGCTTTCAACCATGGCCCTCAGATCTCAGCCTCCTGAGTAGCTAGGATTACAGGTGTGAGCCACTGGCGCCCAGCTACAAGGACACTTTTGAGACTGAATGGAGGGAAAAGAAAGGAGCTGGAAAGTCAACTGAAAGAGGAAGCCAGGATTTATGAGATTAGCCTTGAGGAACAGATCACCCTCACCAGCACTGAGCCTTCTAGCTAATCTTAAAATGGAACCCCAATATTCAAGTCTTCATAACTCAATTGCCATAGGGCACACATCCTCCAAAGTCGGCGAAGGGAGTCTGAAAATAGATCTCATTTGGTGTGCAAGGCACAGACACATAGCACATAAGTAGAGACAGTTTCATAAATATTAAAATTTCATAGAAATTCTATTAGGAGAAACTATAACAAAATCTCCATACTGGGCCATTAGAATGACAATTAAGAAATGCTGTTTTAGGGAATATTAACGAGGGTTATTAAACTCATAGTCTGAGGGTTTTTGTTGTTGTTTTTTGGGGGGGTTGTCGGTTGTGGGCCTGAACTCTGGGCCTGGGCACTGTCCCTCAGCAATTCAGCTCAGCTCTTCAGTTCAAGGTTAGCCTTCTACCACTTGAGCCACAGCGCTACTTCCGGCTTTTTCTGCTTATGTGGTGCTGAAGAATCGAACCCGGGGCCTCATGCATGCAAGGCAAACACTCTACCACTGAGCCACCTTCCCAGCCCTTCTGAGGGTTTTTTTAAAAGAAGGTTTGCATATCAATGGAGTTTTCACTGTCTGCTGAGGGCAGCAATGAGGACACCTAGTGATACTCTACAGGCAGGATTTTGAGAAATTGAGAACCTCCATTCAGATAGAAATGGAAAGCAGACTATTGGGGGCAGTGACAGAGCTGCTAAAATGTGCTTTGGAATAAATGAATATAAGGTCATGGGGTTTGTGGAATAAGGTTTCAAAGGAAGCTGGTGATCGCTAAATCCAAAAGGTCAGTATACTTCCTAAATGTTCCCCTAACCACACTGATTGATTTGACCCAACTAGGTAGCTGCTGAAATTCATCAGAGGCTCATGGAAGAAGAAAGCTTAAATCAGCCACCAGAATCAAACGAAAAGTCTCCTCAGCCTGGTGCAGGTAAAAAAGGCAGAAAGGAAAAGGAAACACTCAAGAAGAAAAAGGATGAAAAGAAAGCAAAAGGTATTCATGGTTTTAGTGCTCAGACTCCTGGGCTCTTCAACCTCTTCTTGGCAAGAAACAAATCTTCAACCAGACACATTATCTTCTGAGCCCCTAGGGGACTTAGGTTGGGAGGTAATACTACTTAACCTTATGGAGAAATCTACCACAAACATTGTCCCCCTGTGATGTCTTCACTTGTACATTTCTAAGTTCATATAAAGCAAGACTGCAAGTGGAAGCACATGTACATCATATTTATGACCCGATATACCCTAACATAGGTGCCAAGAACACAACTGTGAATTGCAAAAACAAAAGCCAAAATCATCGCTCTGCCCTAGTATAAATAGTGTAACAGCAGAGACAGACATTGGCAGTCATTTTTCATTAATAATTTTACATTTTTATTAGCATATAATAATTTCATTGTGGTATTTTCATACATACACATATGACATCATCTCTATTATTCCTGTCACTCCACTGCCTCTTCTAAAAACAATTGCAAGTGAGATTGGAATATATTGCTTGTCACATACACCTTGCCTTCCTACAAGGTTTCACAAATGTGCTTTTCTAGCTAGCACATTGAGAATTTGCGAGAAGGGTTATCAATAATTCACTAGGCAAGGCCTAGCTTTCTCCATCCTAAATCACAGATGTTTATAACAGAATTTTTCATTAGTACTCATTTTGTCCAAGTACCACAGACACACACACACACACATGCGTGCGCACACACACACACACACTCAACAGTTGATATTTGACTCGGCCTCCATCATTTTCCTTTCAGGTAAACTTGAATCTGCTACAGAATCCACCCCTGTACTGTTATCACCCCCTAAAGAAAACATTGAAACTCAAAATAGAAGTGAACTGAAGGTGAGAATCAAGGAAGAACATCTTGCTGCCCTGCAATTTGAAGGTAATGGAGGGCACCAGGGCAGTTGGTGCTGTTTAGTGACAAGTAAACCCATAGCCAAATAGCCCACAAGAGGCTCATCATAACCTCAGACTGTGTCTACGAGAACATGGGGCTGACACTGGAAAAACAGCAAGCTCCCATAAGTAACAGTAACACAGTGAACCTCACAAGTCCCCAGCCCTGAGGCAAATGAAGACACCTGCTTGCCTCCTATTATCTGTCCTCACATCTGGTTCCAGTGGTTTTCAGTAGACTTCTTTTAGTTCATCCAATTCATGAGACCTGAGGCAGTGAAGTTCGCTCATTCACATAAAAAGTTGTTGGGCCAAGTCCCCTTGTGATTGCTTGGTGCACCTGCAAAAATGCACAAATATAAAACAAATGAACAAAATTAAAGCTCAATCTAGAAGAAGAGAAATTAAAACAATGACTTATATGTTTTATATTGGAAATAGCCATGTAGAACACTAGATGTAAGAGAATGGAAAGAAAGGATGCTGATCAACTGGTGGCTCACACCTACACTCTGTCTACTCAGGAGATCGAGAAAATAGTTGAAGCCAGCCAAGGCAGAAGAGATGGTAAACTCCATCTCCAAAATGACCAGCAAAATGCTAGGCTGGAGGCATGACTCAAATAGTTGAGATCAAGCTGAGCAAACAAACCTATTAACCTAAGAGCCCTAGGTTCAAATCCTAATATGGTCAAAAAGAAAAAAAATTAGAAAAGGAACTGATGTGTGAGTTATACTGGAAGAATAAGGAGTTTTCCCAGGAGGCAATTTGGGTAGAAATTCAGAGAGGACATTTGCAAGGACTGAGAGGAGGAAGGAATGCATTCTATTTGGTAGTCTATTTGGTAGCTACTTAGCTCAGGTAGATGAGGCATGTTTTAGAAAGGAGTGACTTTGCAGAAGGGAAGCCAAACCATGGATGATGTAATAGGTGCAGCCATTGGCCAAAGAAAGTGATTATGAGCATGATAGCAGATGATGCAGATTATTCAGATTCCTCTGGATAGTGGTGTGTGGATTTGAACTTGAGGAGGGGAAATAAGTCAGTAGAAGCAAGGTTGAAGCTGTTCCAAAAGTGAGAGATAATCAGTACACAGATAAGGTCAGTGGCAATTGAAAGAGAAATAGTGAAGATCAGAAAGCTTTTTGGAGTAAAGTACACAGTTCCTACAATGAACTAGGAGCAACAATAAGCCCAGAGACAAATTCCACTCTCATTTTCACAATGTTGAGAAACATGATGGCATTGCTGCCCCCAAGATTCTAAAGGAGGGAGAGAATAAGCAAAAGATTTTATGCCCCTACTTTTGAAACTCAGAGATGTTTTTGTCATTTTATTTATTTAAAAATCATACTGTTAGAAATTATAGCAGATATAAAACTCAAGTGTAGCTCTAGCTTCATTTCTCAAATGACTTAAACAACATTTGGCTTCTCAATGAGATAGATGTGACCTTACCTATATTGATATATTAAACGTGCACCTGAAATTTCACAAATCAAAGCATGAGTATAAAAATGAATTTGTGTCATCATGTTCTATAAGCATATAGTATTATATTAATTAATAGGCTTTATTTAATATACTTTTGTCATATTCAAACACATATATTACTTTCTCTTATCTGCCTCCATTTGCCTTCTCCCAATTCTTTTCAAATAGTCTCATTTCCACTATCATGTTTTTAAAAAATAGACATCTTATTTGAGACAAACATGCAATCTTTCTGAGTCTGGCTTATTTCACTTATGGCTTATTTCTCTTTTAATATAGAGATAGCCACACAGTTTCGACTAGAACTGATCAAGGCAAAAGCATTGACTGTCCTTGAAGATTTAATCACAAAGGTGGTGGATGTCTATAAATTCATGGAAAAATGGCTTGGGGAGAGGTACTTGAATGAAATGGCCAGGTAAAGTACTACATTTTTTAAAAGGCACTGCTAATCCTCAGCGCCAAAAGTGATAAGGATTTTTAAAGTGTTCACAAATTTAAATGAAAATGAAAATTTTGGCCTTTAGGAAATCACTCTTAGAAAGGCATGAGGCCAGCTTTACTATTGAATTTGCATTGCCTCTTTTCACATAGTAAATTATGTGTGAAAAAAGTGGCACCAGTGGCTCATGTCTATAACCCTGCCTACTCAGGAGGCTGAGATCTAAAGATTGTAGTTTGAAACAAGCCCAGGCAGAAATGCCTATGAGACTTCTCTCCAATAAACTACTGAAAAGGCAGAAGTGGAGCTGTGGCTCAAGTTGTAGGGTCTTAGCCTTGAGCAAAAGAAGCTGAGTTCAAGCCCCAGAACCAGCACAAAAAAATAGAGTATCCAGTTTTGCATTTTATTTGCTTTTAGTTTTCATAAAGCTCAATGGGAACCTTACTTTACAAGGTAGAATATAATTTTCCATATTTTTCAAATGTAAAATAATGCTTTCCATCTTTCTAAGGTAAACCCTGTCAGAGTTAATAGTGTGAGATTAAGAAGTCATTCACTGAAATGTTTTACTAGTTGGACTGATTCCTTGGTAAACTCAACATTCCCTTCTCCTTTGCTGTTGAATTTCCGGAGTCTGATTACTATTGAGGGCAGAAGATTTCATCTTCTTACTTCTCCCCTTGAAAAGGCATGAAGATCCAGCTTAGAGGAGAAGAAAGGCCCTCATCCGAGCATCCAGGAGACAAGGATTGCTCTAGTGTCCATTGCGGATTGCTTTGAACCTTATTATCAGCTTCTACAAGAGGCAATATGTCAGTCATTGTATTTCAAAGATTTCTACTTAAGCTGTATTTTGTAATGCACTATAGTTTGCAATAAACATTTACTGAAATTTTAGCAGTTGCATATAAATAGGATTCAAATAGCAAGTATTCTCAGAAGCAGTAATTACCATCTTAAAAAAAAACAGTTTTTATGGTTTGTTTTCCCCAGATCTTGTCTCATAATCAAAGTTCTACTATAAAATCTTCAGCCTAGTTGTTTAGAAATCTTGTTCCATTGGTTCCTCCCATAAAAAAAACAGAGTTAAAGAAGATTCTAACACACATTGCAGTAGTAATATATTTAATGTAATCACATGGCTAAATGGCCCAAGTCCATTACCATCAGCCTCACAAGCAGTAATTCTCAGTCCTGTTCTGTGCTAGCTACTTACAAATCAAATTTTGTCTTCATTGGAAGGATTCATAGCTTCTATCAAGTGTAAATGAATGTTGTTTTTAGATGGTATACCTGTGTTTCTTTTGTGTATATCTCTGTCTCCAGAATTATGATGCCATCTTATGTTGTGGCTGCAAGAAATGAAGGAGTTAAAAACCTAGCATATAATGGGAAGTGACAGAGACAGAGAGGAGAAAGAGACACAGAGGAAAGTAGAGAGAGAGAAAAACAGGCACAGAGAGACACAAAAAAGAGTCTTCCTTTGAACTCCAAATCTATTTTTCTGGCATATTTTCCCATCCACTAGATGGTGCACACTTGCCTGAAATCTTGGTTCTGATTGGATCTCAAACTGGATCCAGTCAGATCTCGAACAGAAATCCAATCAGAGCCAATGTCCCAGACAAGAAACACCATAAGTTTATGAACTAATCAGCTACCACATAGTAAATGAACACTCACAAAGATGGCATTCAGGAGTTGACTTAAAGGGTATCTTTTGGAAGACAGCAACTAATGCTACTTACTAAATTGTCACTATGGATATTATGTAAAGGTAGTTGAAATATGTTTTCTTATATCTAGTTACAAATAATTGTATTGTTCTAACAGTCATATTTTACCAACTCACCATATTAACTTATTCAGGTTCAAATTTAGAATGAAATCTACTTTTGATAAAATCTTGCTTAGATAGTAAACTATGTTCCAATACTAATAGTAAAAAAAGAATAGATTCTCTTTTGGCTCAATTTGTTAAAAATATGTGAAACTATGAGCTATGTAACAAGCATATATGTTTTAAATTTGCATTGGACATTGACCTTATGTTAAATAGATTTAAAGAAAAGTTAAAATATTATGTAACTTATGCATAGCATTCATTTCATATATATGTGCTTATAACACATATAACAAATATTAACCTAATAGCATCTTTAGCAGAGATAACTTTATTCCTTCTACTACTTTCAGTGTAGAAAAATTAACAGAAGTAGCTCGCTATCACATTGAAACATCTACAAAAATTCAGAATGAGCTTTATTTAAGCCAAGAAGTCTTCTTCATTAATGGTGATGTAAAAGTCTTCCCAGATCCTCCACCACCAACACGTCCACCACCTATAGAAAAGGAAGAAAATGGCACCTTGACCATCGAACAGCTTGATAATCTTCGAGATCAGTTCTTCGATTTGGCACCTAAAGGTAGGAAAATGAATTGTCATTGAAAAAAACACTAAAAAGATTATGAGTAACCGGGATGGGTATCACTTGGCCACAAGAAACATGAGTTCTATGGGAGAGTAAGGCAATACATAGCCCTCAAACCTGTTCTGACCTATTAGCATAGACTATAGATATGAATTAAACAGACAGGAGAATCAGATTGACTCACACTTGAGGAGTGTATCAGTCTTCATTCCTGGTAATTCTTCCCTATTGTCCTCTTCTCCCTCTTTCTGGAGAAAATGTGTGTGTATGTATGTATATATATATACATATATATAATACTGATATATATGTATATATGGGTATAACATATTGTATATAATATATGTGTGTAAGTTATATATAAAGAATATTAAGAAAAAATATATCTTCTTTTTCCCTCCTTGCATCATAGACAATTCATAGACCAAAATGATGTATTTACAAATTTTCCCTTGTGAATTAATTTGTGTGTGCATGTACATGTTATTTTATGCATGTGTATATGTGCATACTGTTTTCTGCACAAAAATTTCAACTCCTTCACATTCTATCATGACTTTTTAGCTCTTGTACAGGATTTCAAAACTCAAGTGTCTTCTAAAAGTTGGAATTAATACATGATCAATCATGTAGCGTTATCATCTCAACTCTTTAAGAATGAATACTAAGATATCTGAGCGATTTATCATCCAAAATTCTACTGGTTCAAAATTCTCATACACACATTGAACTAGGTTGCAGCTCATTAAACTGTTTATTTTATCTCCAAATATATTTTACTTATTGGTAAACCATAACTTTTTATAACTTCAGTATTAGCATGATTTCATTCTAAGAAGCTTTTCATAACTTCAGTATTAACATGATTTCATTTTTAAGGAATTAGTCCAATATTTCCAGAGATCTGTATCAATTACCATTGATTTAAAAAAAGAACATGATGGGCTGGGAATGTGGCTTAGCGGTAGAGTGCTTGCCTAGCATGCATGAAGCCCTGGGTTTGGTTCTTCAAACCACATAAACAGAAAAAGCCAGAAGTGGCTCTGTGACTCAAGTGGTAGAGTGCTAGCCCTTGAGCAATAAAAACCCTGGAGAGAATAAACACTTTATCAAAGTGCTCAAAAGCAAAGCATAGGAGAATCAATGTGCAGTGAGTGAGGTTGGTCAGAGAAAAATGCAATTTTAAATATACTATATAAAATTATTGACAGAAATAATACCCTCTGATTAAAATCTTGTGAATGATGAGTATCAGGATATAGCAGAGCTAAAGCTTAAGGAGCTTTCAGCCTGTTATTGGTTAACCAAATTGAAGTCAGTCTTCAGTTAAAATGAAATGCCCTTGTACAAATATTTGAAGATAATAATGAAAAAGAAGTGTTCATAAAATAATCCTTACTGGATGCAATATTGAATCACACATTGTAATATAGAAGTTTAAAACTCCTTTCCTGATTAAATCCTCCTTTTTGATGATTCTAAATCTTCTTTGGCAAAAGTGATGTACATAAAATATTGTTTGTTGTACATTTTATGTACATAAAATATTGCTGTTTACATATTGACTCAGGTCAAATGAAATGAATCCAGTAATCATGCTTGCATTTTTGCTGCCACTGAGCAAAGATCTGTCCATGTATTGGAACAATAATAAATGAACAATGGGTCTGAGAACCATTTTTTTCTATTGACTATCCAGGAATCATCCTGTGAGTGCTCTCCCAGGATAGAGTGAGATAGGGTGACTGTTTTCTGAATCATAACAATAGCCAGTTTTGGCATGACCACCATGTGTCGGGCCCTGTGCTAGCATTTTCTGTGTAGCAATTCTTAGCATCTCAACCTATAATGGGATGTCTGAAGTCACACTGCTCTTTCTCAAGTCTACTTCTTGTTAAATGATCTTCATAACACTTGGAGCAATTTATTGAATTTCCCACCTCTTCCTCTGCAAAATGATGGTAATGATACACAATCTCTATAAAGATTAAAGAAAGTTATAAATTTAATGTCCTTAGAAAGAGTATAAAACAAATAATATAGTAACATTAAGTCTTCCTGAAATTGTATCTCAGTCTCATAAATGCTTGACACTTAGTAAGTCAATCTTCTTCAGAAAACTTTATAAAGTAGTTTAATGTTTCCACTGGGATTTTTTTTGAAAAGCGATGTGAAAACCCCTACAAATCCACTGAAATAATGATTATTTTGTAACAAATGTTGGAAAACAACCACAAAACTCATGCAATTTAATTATATATAAGCTACTGTCATATAATGTAACTTTACTAACGTCATATTAGTGTATAATATTTAGAATTGCACAATGCTGATTAAGACCTTTATTACTACCTAAAATGGTATTTGGTGTTCTAACCTAGTAGGTACCTAATACTGTCCTAGAGGAATTCTACACAAAAAGAGAAATCTATCCCACATAGTAGACTAAAATCATAAAGTAATGTGGATCCCTGAGGAGTGTGAGTATCCAAAACAGAAAATACTGAGGTTGTGTGCTGCAGTAAACTCTGCTAGGAACATCTTGTCTCCAAACACCAAATGGCAAGCATATTGGGAAGACAGCCTAGCTCTGGGAGAAGCAAATTTTAGTCTATTGAAACTGGAACATTTTAACAGTGTTCCCTTATCCCCACTTAAAATTATCAGAACTTCTTTTCCTTGTAAATTCATTGGTACTCTGTGTGATGCTTGTAAAGATTTGGTTCATCGCTATTTTGGCCTCTACTGAGAGTCTGTGTTGAAAGAGTACTAGCAAATCCTCAACTCTCACTGTTTCTTCAGAAGAGGAAGTATTTGGGTGTACAAGGCCTGTAACATCTTGGAAAAGAATTCTCCTTTGAAATCCCTCTTGGAGACGCTTAGATGCAGTGACTGAGTACAGTGATAGAGGATGTACATTCAGAATGCTAGCTGCAGTAGCTAATCTGGATCAGTCAGCTTCTAAGATCTTGCTAGAGTTCCAAAAAAGAATTGGCCCTTGCTCCTTCCTTGAGGCATCATAGGTGCACGGCACAGAAAGCTTTTCAGATTGGCACCCCTGAGAAAGCAAGTCAAAGAATGGCATTGCAGGAAAAAGAAGAGATAGAACAGACATAGAAACTGTGGGGTCATAAAACAGCAAACTACGCAGGGTGAGATAGTAAAAAGCCACAATCAGTGAGGTACCTTGAGACACTTCCCAAAAGCATTTGAAGCTGACTGGAATGGTGAATGGTTCCAAAAGGGTAGAAACTATGTCTGAGAGAGCAACAGACACCAAATTTTCCTACAAAGACTCCAGTGACTGAGAGACAGGAAGGAGTACAAGACACTTGGGTTGTCATCTTAAGGGGTAACTAGAAAGTTCCGTGGATTTTTCTGGGCCTAAAGTCATTATACAACTATCATGCTATAAGTTTTTTTTATTATAAAAATAGTGTACAGAGGAGTTACAGTTACATGAATAAGGTAATGAGTATATTTCCTATCAAACATTGTTACCTCCTCCTTTTACCCCCGCCTACCATCCCTTCCCTCCCCACCTTCCCAACTCCCCTGTCACCCCTAAGTTGTAAAGTTCATTTTCAACATAGTGTCTTATACATGTCATTGTTACAATAGGTAAATCTGTATCCTTGTTCCAGCATTTTGTTATTTCCCTTCCCCTCCCCAAATTAGAAAAATGTATATACAAGATGCAGGGTACTGACATCAAATACAGTAACTTTTTAAGCATATTTTGATCCAAAAATTGCTTATAATTACTAAAATTAAATTAAATTTTCCTAAAAACAAAAGATACAGAAAACCTATTTATAAAGGGGTTATTACAGAGACATAAGTATTATTAATAGGAATAGCTTCCTGTGTGTAATACGGAGGAATCCCAGAAAAGGGTGTATGGTGCCCCTTCCTAATGATCTCTCAATGGTGAACACCTTTCTCAAGAGCAGACTGGGATCATGGAAATGTACAGTGAATGCAGCAGCCTGTGTATCTAGCAAAACTGTCTATAGGAAGTTTCAAAATGTTGTCAGGATGAAAGATTCTTGAGAAGTAAATGAAAACTTATGCTCCCTATGGCAGATAGTGTCTTCTAGAAAATCTGCCTTTAAAACTAAAATATAACAACTAGTTAAACCAGTCATTTAACCAAAGACTGATTTTCTCATCTTTTCCTTCATTAACTTGCCAGTATATATTCGTGTACAGCAAGCATCAAACATAACCTAGTGTAAAAGATTGGTAAACACTCCAATGCTTAGGTAAAAAGATGAAGGCAGTAGCTGGCAACTACATTGAGACTAATTTTAAATAAAACACAACAATACCTGGACCTTGAAAGCAAACAGAGAAACTGAGTACCAGTGGCTCAGAACTCTAATCCCAGCTACTCAGAACTGTAGGTCTGGAGATCACAGTTCAATGCCAGCATATGCACCAAAGCCCTCAAGACTCCATCTCCAATAAACCAGCAAGAAACATTGAACTGGAGGCATGGTTCAACTGATAGAGTTACAGCTGTGGGTGAAAAAAAACCCAAGTAGAAGGAAGGAAGGAAGGAAGGAAGGAAGGAGGGAGGGAGGGAGCGAGGGAGGAAAGAAGGGAGGGGGAGGAGGGAGGACAGCAGTGATCTGTACAATGTACAAATGTGATTAAAAGATAAAACAGAAGATGTAAATAGGGTATGAAAGTTAGAGAGACATCAACTAATACAAAGATTATTATTATATTATTATTATATCAAAGAGACAAAAGATAGATCATAATAATCAAGTACAAAAAGATTTATTTTCATATAAGATTTATTAAATATTTATCAGATATCTAGACATGATGGAGCAGAAAACAATTTAGTGTAATTCTGATATAGAAGTGTTTAAACTAGATAGCTTAGCTTGGCCTTGAATTCATGATCCTCCTGCAAGAGCTGCTAGTTTGAGGAGATGCTTTGTTTCAGGGAGATATTTTAATATAATTATCATACAAACACATATTAATTTTTTCATTATGTATAGTTATTAGTATAAGTAATGGTGCTTCAACCTAATGATTTTGTTATTTTCAATGGTGCTAAAATGATAGACAATCTGTAGAAACTGAATTGTAAAATTCATTTGAGTACTTTTCCCATACCATCTTCATGTAGTACAATATTCTCTGATGATCCAGGGAAGCAGCAGAGAAAAACAGCTCCCACTCAGTCCCCGGTCACAGGGGAAATAGCCATCTGGTATTGTGTACAGAGTAATGCAAAGCAAAGATGTTCAGGAGGTTAAATGTGATTGATGCATTTTCAGCTTAAGATGTTTTCAGTTCATAATGGGATCATGTTACTCCATTGTTAGTCAGGGAGAGAATCTGTCATCTGACAATCAGTAAGGTCAATGAACTTGTATACCAGGAAAGCACACATAATCTTATTCCTCTTCCTCATGGAAAAGCTGTTACTTGAGGATTTAGTTTGAGCAACTTTTATTTTATTTGTCTTCCATCAAAATATATGTATATTCCTTCTCTAAAAGGGGAGCAAATATACATGAAAAGTACACTTTCAAAATCTGAGATTTTGTATCACCCCAGTTATTGGCCACCCTCAAGAACTTGAACAAAAACAAATGTTGGCAGGGATGTGGGTGACAAGGTAAGCTATTACAACCACTCTGGAAGTAGGTTTGGAGGGATGTGGGTGACAATGGAAGCTATTACAACCACTTTGGAAGTAGGTTTGGAGGTTCCTCAAAAAACCAAACTTTCTTATGACTTTTCTTATGAACTTTCTTATGACCCACCCATACCATTCCTGGGCAGCTACCTAGAACTTTACAAGTCAGAATACATTAAGACACATGTGCATCCATGTTCATTGCTGCACTATTCACAATAGCAAAGTGATGGAAAAACCTAGATGCCCTATAGCAGAGGAGTGGATTAGTAAAATGTGGTATTTATACACCATGGAATTTTACTCATCCATTAGAAAGAATAAGATCATGTCATTTGCAGGGAAATGAATGGACCTAGAACAAATCGTGCTAAGTGAGGTAAGCCAAGCTAAGAAAGAAATGGCATATGTTTCCTCTTGTATGTGGAAGCTAGATCCAAAATATAACTGGACATGATAACCTATACAGGACTCAGGAATTCACACACAGTCAGCCTAAAGGAGGATACCCTAGGGGAAAGAACCCAAAGGTATAACTTCTCTGAACACTTAAAATACCACCTATTAAAAGGAACTACAGAAAATGGAAACATGTTTTCTTTTTCTGTTATTGTTGTTACTGTGTTTGTTGTTGGTAGTGGTGGTATTTGCTTTTGCTTTGGATTTTTTTTATTCTTGTGGTGGGGGACACAGGAAGGGAGAAAGGGTGAACAAATATAATCATGCTATTCAGTCTACACTATGTAAAAAATGAACTATGAAACTTGTGGGCAGGGATGAGAGGGGAAATCTGTGAGAAAGTAAAGGAAAGAGTGGCATTGTCCAAAACCAGAAATGTATTCATTACCTGACTTATGAAATGGTAACCTTCTGTACAATACATAATAGTAACATGATTGTTTTTAAAAATGGGCTTTTTAAAAAAACTAAAAGATACTTGGAGCATTAGATACAGGTTGTCTATGAAACTTCCTGGCAAGCCTCAAAACCTGATGTTCTTGGGACTTGGTCAGAAAAGGAAAAGTCCAGGATTATGCACTGATTAGTATTTTTTCTCCTCATCCTGAGAAAGAGAGAAGAACCATAGATCAAAATGGTGCTTCTCTTTCACATGAAAAACAAAGGAGCCTAGCTTGTCTTCCCTAATAGTGATACTCACAGACGTGTGTGGATTCCAGGTGCTCTGCTCCTGATCATCACCAACACGCAATGGATAAACCTCTTAGCCACAAAATAGTGTTAATGATAATTGGTCTATTTTCCTAACTATAAGTAGGGGTAATGGTTGCTAAGAACTAAATGATGAATGAGCTAAAGCACTTATTAGATTACATGTTACCTAATAAACATTTGATATCATTTCCCAGGAATCATAACCGTGCATGGGACAGGGAAGGAGGAGGGGGCAGGATTGGGTGGGGGGGAGATTGAGCACAACTGAGGATAGGCACTGTGGTTGTTGTAAAAATAACTACGCAGAGTTGTTTTAAAGGCAGGGATCCTCCAGATGGTATGATTCGATTCACCCAAAAGCAGAAACAGACACGAAAACTTGACTACTACCTTCCAAACAGAAACACTCAATTTCTGAAAATTTGGCTAAAAAAATACCCTTGGCTTGTGTATGATGAGTTTTTAAATCTGATGTTCTGCGCCCTGTGTCGTAAGCACGGAGTAAAGTCAGGGGGAAGTCAAGAGAGCTTTTTCCATGGAACCGACAACTTCAGGACGGAATTCCTCAATGCCCATCACCTCAGCGAGGCACACGCCAAGGCTTCATTAATGGAAGCGACAAGTGGCTCCCCAGGGAACCGAGCTGCCACCGATCTAATGGTGAGGACCATGAGCAAAGTAACTCTGGGCAGAGTAGAGAACTTATTCAGATCATGCCACGCCATTGCCAAGACTGGCCGCCCCCTCAAAGACTTTATTTGGATGTGCAAGTTGGATGATATGAAGGGTGTCGATATTGGCCTCGTGTTCAGGACTAACAAGTCAGCGAGAACGTTTACCTATTTTATTGCTGAGGTAGAACGGAAAAATCTTAGACAAAAGCTAGAGAAAAGTAAATTTTTCTCAGTCATCAGTGATGGATTCATCGACAGTTTCGTTGAGGAAACCAAACTTGTCTATGTGCAGTTTGCACACGCAGGGAAAGTGCATTGTCAAATTGTGGGGGTCCATACTGTAGAGGAAAAAGACCCTCTGGCAATAAAAACTGCCATTGAGAAAACTCTAGAGGTAAATCTTCAAGTTAGGCTGTCCAGCCAAGACTGGGCCAAGAAATTAGTTGGGTTTGGAAGTGATGATGCCCCTGAAAAAGAAGAAGGGAAGGAGCTGGCCTTACTTTTAAGAGAAATCCAACCATGTGTCCAGAGTGTATACTGCTTAGCACATCAACTTGAACTCTCTTACAAGGCAGTATTCCAGAACATTCCTCTCTACAACACTCTCCAAGATCTCCTTCACAGCACTTACCATTTCTATCAGAATTCTACTATTCATAAGAGTTCTCTGATCACAGCCTTCAAAGGCCTTCACCTTCAACCTGTGATGCCTTCTCAAATTGGAGGCCCGCGATGGCTTTACAGAATGCAGGCAGCCCTCCAGAACTTTCTCAAGGGATACCCAGCAATTGTCCAGCAACTGCAGTCAGTAAGTAATTCTTTCTTCCACATCATAACAAAAAATACTTTCATTTCATTTCTCTGAATAATGTGTTTTGAGAAGGATAAGCACATCATTGCTGATCTTGTGTTACAGGCCGATGAAGGCAGATGGGACACCAATGAACAGAAAGCCAAAGAGCTCCTCAATCTTCTTCTCCAAGCTGACATCATCAAGTTTGCCCATTTCTTGGTGGATGTCATTAATGTCCTTACCATTCTGTCCCGGGTCAGTCAGAATAGAAATTCCTCAATTGCAGACATATTTGCCACTTTGGAGTCAACACTGAAAATGCTCCAGATTTATCAAACAAGGTGAGGGGTTGGGATGACCTGAGGACCCATCATCCAGTTATACATGAGAGACATGATTTTCTGGGTGATTTTCTATTTAATTCTTTGAGCTCTGTCTCTGTCTCTGTCTCT